TTTTATAGCTTCTCTAACTAGTGTATTAATAACAGATTCTCTAACGGCTCCTATACAACTCATCTAATCGTTAACTCATCTATTCGTTAACTCATCTACTCGGCCAAAAAGGGTTAACTCATCTAATCGTTAACTCATCTAATCCTTAACTCATCTACACGGCCAAAAAGGGTTAACTCATCTAATCGTTAACTCATCTAATCCTTAACTCATCTACACGGCCAAAAAGGGTCAACTCATCCAATCCTTCGGAACTAGACTATTGAGTACCGGCCGTTTGAGTCCATGGCCAGTAGAGTACCGCCGGTTGAGACTCAACTGGTCATGGACTCAACTGGCCATGGACTCAACTGGCCATGGACTCAACTGGTCATGGACTCAACTGGTCATGGACTCAACTGGCCATGGACTCAACTGGTCATGGACTCAACTGGTCATGGACTCAACTGCCCATGGACTCAACTGGTCATGGACTCAACTGGCCATGGACTCAACTGGTCATGGACTCAACTGGTCATGGACTCAACTGGCCATGGACTCAACTGGTCATGGACTCAACTGCCCATGAACTCAACTGGTCATGGACTCAACTTACCCATGGACTCAACTTACCACTCAAACGGCCAGAGACTCAAACGGCCAGAGACTCAAACGGCCAGAGACTCAGACGGCCGGAGACTCAGACGGCCAAAGACTCAGACGGCCAAAGACTCAAACGGCCGTTACTCAATAGTCTCGTTTCGGATTGGATGAGTTGACCCTTTTTGGCCGTGTAGATGAGTTAAGGATTAGATGAGTTAACGATTAGATGAGTTAACCCTTTTTGGCCGTGTAGATGAGTTAACGATTGGATGAGTTAACGATTAGATGAGTTGATCCCTTTTTGGCCGTGTAGATGAGTTAAGGAATTTTAGCCGTTTAGATGAGTTGAACGTTTTTGGCCGTGTAGATGAGTTAACGAGTAGATGAGTTAACCGGACACGTCTCTAACTTTTAAATTTCATAATGTCAACTAATATTTAAAATTTCAAAATATCTAAAGTGTTCCTAATTTTTAGTTTCTCTAACTTGTTTGGTAAGAACTGCGTCTCTAACTTTAAAATTTCATAATGTCAACTAAGCCAAAAAATTTCAAAATATCTAAAAATTTTCCTTAAGAGTCTTGTTATTTTTAGCATCTCAACAATCTCTCGATGATCAAAGGATGTTTGTTATTTGCAATTGCAGCATCCCACCACCCTTGCCAACCTACGAAGATGCCTTAAAAATGGTTCCTAGACCTCTAGATATTGAAAGAGGAGAAAAGGAAGCATTGCCACCTCCCCCAAAATATTCTTTAACTAGTGGAGAGACAATTTATACCATTACTGCAGTGTCGACTTCAACAACAAGTATTGCTCAAACAATAACAACAACGACGGGTGAACAACAAGGAGAAGAAAGTCATCAACAAGAAGAAAATTTGCCTTCTACAACAACCTCTTAGAAAAGAAAACGAATTTAATTTTTGTTCTCTGCCATTTTTTCCGATTTTTCACTTTGAAAGCTTCACTTAACTATTTATTTTTAATAGGATTTTTATGATTCGACATTTTGAAAATTATCAAAGAAAAATTTTAATTTGTTGGATTTATTAAAAATTTTGATCTGTTTTGTCTTGTTTTTAGATGTAAGGTAGCTTTGGCTTCCTGAGACTCTAGTGTCTTTATTTTTAAATTATTTTCATAACGCCAAAAGTTTTGAAACGATTGTTTAATCAATAAAATGCGAGAGATGTAGTGAAGAGAAAAATACAAAAAGTGACGCTTCTCCGCTTCTTTTGGAAATTTTATCGGTTTTTTTCTGGGGTTTTCGGGGTGTTTGTTCGGGTTACGTTTTTGTGGGCCCTTCTCTAGCCATGTCGGTTTCCTTATATTTTACCGATAGGCTTTCAGCTTCGTCTCGTTATTATTCCACTTAGAATGTTAATGTAAAACTCTTAGAATTATTTTCTACCTTCCTCTAGGTTGAGCAGTCAATCATTATTTTTATTAGAAAATAACGTTATTTATAAATTCACAAATTGATTGAGAGCTTATTTTTAACACTAAAAATTTAAGTTTTACATTGTTCAGTATGTTAATCCTCTTAAATACGTTCATTCATTTTTCTCTTGTTGATGCAATTTTAAATCAAATGGGGAACTAAAAACGCGTCCCCCTTGCCTTTACAATAATTTTCGGTCATTTTAAATCATATTTTGGCCATATAATCCTTAAACAGTTTATTACCGTGATCACACAGATCACACATTTGTTTACTTCTTCCATTGCCTTTTTGACTAAAAATGAGAGCGTTTTCTCTTAATTTTATTTTCTTATTTTTTGTGCTTTTTTAAATCTTTATTTCCTTAAATTTCTTTTTTTCAGTAAACTTTACTTAATTTTTTTAAAAATGTCTGCTGATGGGTTGGATGTCGATAATTTGATCACACGGCTTTTGGAAGGTTTTTTTTTAATTATATTTTATTTAAATCGTTTTGTTCAGTTCGTGGCTGCAGGCCTGGGAAAACTGTGCAAATGACAGAAAATGAAATTCGAGTTCTTTGCATCAAGGCTCGTGAGATTTTTCTTTCGCAACCTATTTTGTTGGAATTGGAAGCGCCGTTGAAGATTTGTGGTATTTTTTTGTTTTGTTAAAGTTTTCACGAATTTTTGCCTCTAGGCGATATTCACGGTCAATACAACGACCTTTTGCGGCTTTTCGAATATGGAGGGTTTCCGCCTGAAGCGAATTATTTATTTTTGGGTGATTATGTGGATAGAGGAAAGCAGAGCTTGGAGGTTTGTTTTTGAGGTAAATTGAGTTGAAATCCTTTGAATTTTAGACGATTTGTTTGCTGTTGGCCTACAAGATCAAATACCCGGAAAATTTCTTTTTGTTGAGAGGCAACCATGAATGTGCTTCTATCAACCGAATATATGGATTTTACGATGAATGTAAGAATTTTTGGGGTAATACTGAAGAATACAGACCCGATTTTTTCCTCCTCAATTTTCCCCCTATATTTTTACAAAATGGTCAGACTTTTTCCTTTCTTCCATCTATTTTGCCTTTCTAATTTTTGCCTACAATCAAACAAAAAGGATTATTTTGGATATTTTATTTACTGTTTTAATAGAGAATATGAGTCTTCTCAAACTTATACTTGTCAAATACCAAAAATAATCCTTTTTTGATTGTAGGCAAAAATTAGAAAGGCAAATTGCATGGAAGGAAGGAAAAAGTCTGACCATTTTTTAAAAATAGAGAGGGAAAATTGGGGAGGAAAAAATCGGGTCTGTATTCTTCAGTATTACCATTTTTGGTACTTGTGGGTTATCCATAAGTAGTTTTTTTGGGATATTTTATATTTTCCCCTGACTATAGAGTCCGCATGAATATACCCGCAAAAACTGATTTGGGATAACCCACAAGTAAGTACATACCGACTTATAATTTTCAGTAAATTTCAAAAAATTTTTCAGGCAAACGCAGATTTTCTATAAAATTGTGGAAAACATTTACTGATTGCTTCAATTGTCTGCCAATTGCTGCTTTGATCGATGAGAAAATATTTTGTTGCCATGGAGGTTTGTCACCAGATTTGCAGAATATGGAACAAATTCGAAGAATTATGCGACCGACGGATGTGCCAGATACAGGTTTGGATGTTTTTTGAGGTTTTCGGTTAGAAAGGGATACACAGGCCAGTCATGGGGGTTTTCGAAACTCGAAGGTTATTTTACTTTATTAGGTCTTCTCTGTGACCTTTTATGGTCTGATCCAGACAAAGATGTCCAAGGATGGGGAGAAAATGACCGTGGAGTCTCTTTCACTTTTGGACCTGATGTAGTTGCAAAATTTTTGAATCGACACGATTTGGATTTGATTTGTCGAGCACATCAGGTGGGGATTTCTTAAAGTCGGAAAAAATTTTTGAAAAATTTTTTCTTCAAAGGTTGTTGAGGATGGTTATGAATTCTTTGCAAAACGTCAACTTGTAACACTTTTTTCGGCTCCTAATTATTGTGGAGAGTTTGATAATGCTGGTGGAATGATGTCTGTAGATGAAACTCTTATGTGTTCTTTCCAGGTTTTTTTTTGAAAATTTGGGAATTAAAAAAAAATTTTTTTTTCAGATTTTGAAGCCGTCAGAGAAAAAAGCAAAATATCAATATGCGGGCTTAAACAGTGGTCGTCCAGTTCAATCACCACAACAGCGTAGCAGTCCAGCTGTTCCTCAACAATCTCAACAGCAAGGGCCTCCAAGCAAGAAGAAATAAATGAGGGATGAATGAAGGAAGGAATGTTTTTTGTGTCTATATAATTAAATTTGGAAGTGAGGAGGTTTAAATTTATTTTTTGCTGTATCTGAAGACAGGAAAAAATTTTTTTTTGAAATTTTGGGAAAAATTTTTTTTTTTAATTTTTACGAAATTTTTTTTCCTGTCCTTTTTTCTCTGAATCGTCAAAAATTCTTTTAATATTTTTTTGCTGTATTTGATGATTTGGTAATTAAATGTTTTTTGGTTTAAAAAAATTAAAAATTGTGCTTCCCATACCTAAAAAGTTTTATTTCTGCATTATTATAAAATTACAATTTGCTTGGGAATAAAAATTTTGATGAGAGAAATTGTTTTTTGAAATTTTTTGAAAATTTTTTTTTGGTTTATTCCATTATTATATTCAATATTAAAATTTAGAGTTCAACATCCCCAAATGGACGGGCCCAGGGTCTGGGTTTTTTCAAGGCGATCCGAGACGTGTTTTTCTCTGTTTAAACTCCCGGAAGTCTGAAAGACCTGGTTTCATTCAAAATACCCGGTTCGGGGCTTTATGGTTCGGAAAACCCATAGCTGGCCGGTATCGAACTCTATTATAGTTTGTAAAAAATTTTTAAAGATTATTTAATTAAAAATTTTTTTAGTCTTTAAAATTCGATTAAAAATAGAGGTAATTGACACAAGAACGCCTTTATTATGCGCTTATATGATGTGCCTTGGATAGCTCATGAAGGTTTATTTTTTTTAATTTTTATGATTTTTTCTCATAAATTCAAATTTTAGGGGGAAATATTTTTTCCTTGGACATCCACCCAAACGGAAGCAAATTAGCCACAGCTGGTCAAGATGGAGGCGGGGCAGGACTTTTAATTGTTTGGGATCTTGATTTTCTCAATGCGTCTATTGATGAAACAACTGAAGTTATGCCTGCTTATAATAATCATCCAATGGCTAGAATACCTCATTCAAGTTGGAGAAATTTTTTTGTTTAATTTTTAGATTTTAAATGGTTTCGGGTTTTTTGCAGAGTCCAGTTGGTAGGGGCCCGTCCCTCTTTTTCGTTTTCAATGGGGATAAGCTTTAAATGTTCTCGGTTTTCTTTTTCGGTTTTTTATCTTTTTTTGGGGTTTTCTCTCATACTTTTACCTTTAAATCTCTATTAGGCAGTATAAACTGTGTCCGTTGGACTCGTGATCCTTCTTCTAAACGCCTTGTTTGTGGGGGCGATGACCCCGTTCTTTGTATTTATGAATGTACTGGAGTCTTCACAAGTATGGGATCAATTGATCAGCCTTCTTCTTCTACAACTTTGCCTTCTGAACAACAAGAAATTTTACGAAAAGTAGAAAATTATAGATGTACACATAAATTGTTTGTTTTTGTTTTTATTTTTATAATGTTCGACCCACAGTCTCTCTGGATGATCGGAATACTCGCGTTGTGGCACCTGTTCCGCAGTAGAGAATTCTCCCAGGGTAAACTCCTGGGACTAGCCGTTTTCTAGGAAGCGAACGAATTCTCCGTGGTAAACTCATGCCCCCGTCCCCCCCCCCCCCCCCCCGATCCTCTGGAAAGTGAATTATCCATAGGTTCTTGGGGTCCCCGAACCCAGACCTGAATTCCCTGACCTCACTTCTCCGTAAGATCGTTTCCCACCTTGTAATGTCATCTACTATATTTCACTTTTTTTTTAATTTTCAAGATTTGGTCATACTTTGGACGTTTTACATTTGGATTGGTCTCCAGATGGAAAATTTTTGGCTTCTTGTTCACTTGATAATTCAATGTTCTTTTACTTTTAAACAATTTATTTTTTTATTTTTTATGTAGAATAATTTGGAATGCTCGCAAATTACCTGAAAAACTCACAACATTAAAACAATCGGGAGGAGGTCATTCACGAGGCGTCAAGGGTTTGGCTTGGGATCCTGTTGGACGGTTTGTTTTTGATTTTTTCAGATTTTTAATTTTTGACCTTTTTGCCTTCTGACCATTTTTTAAAAAAATTTTTTAATTTTAAAATTTTCAGCTTTTTAGCTACACAAGCAGAAGACAATGCTCTAAAAATTTGGCAAACTGATAGTTGGACCTGTGTACATACATTCTCTGAACCTTTTGCCGAATCAGCAATTTCAACACTTTTTTGTCGAATGGATTGGTCTCCAGATGGTTGTTTTCTAGTTGCTCCTTGTGCAATGAATAATGGAGGGCCAACAGCCAAAATTTTTATGAGGAAAGATTGGTCGTATTCTAGGGATTTGGTTGGATTTAGAAAAGCTGTTTGTGCTGTGGTTTGTTGATTTTTTTTTTGAAATTTCGTTGAGAAAATTTTTTGGACTTGTAAATAGGGTAAGAAGTGTTTTTCTTGATTTTGCTGATTTTCCTTATTTCCTCTGGTTTTGCTTCAGGGACAGTCTGCGACATCCGAAGCTTGGCTTTTTCGACCCGAAACCCGATCTTTTTTTCTCAACCCGCCCGATCCCTGGTTTCCATTTTGATATTTATCCAGCCAAAAGGTCTCAAAACTTCTCTAGGCCGCAGAAACAATTAAAAAAATTTTTTTTTGAAATTTTTAAGAGAGCCAATCCTCACTGTTTTCAACGTACAAATTACTCTGGAACAAATTCCAATTTTGCTTGTTTTGCAATAGGCAGTCGTGATCGCTCAATTTCCATTTGGTTAATGCCCAATTTTGCTCGTCCCCTTGTTGTTGTTGAAAAAGTTTTTAAGGATTCTGTCGTTGATTTGTCATGGTTTTTTAAAATTTATTTGGTTAGAAATTTTTTGTATTTTTTAAGGTGTGACTTGACTTTAGCAGCTTCCTCTAAAGATGGAGTTGTTCGAATTTTAAAATTTTCTGATAATGAAATTGGCAATATGCTCTCAACACAAGAAACGGTTCTTTTATGATTTAAAGTTTTTTTTTAATTTAATTGGAGGGTAGGACCTTATTATAAGCTGAATAAGGTTATCTGGGATGTCGACTAGTTAGCTTTATTGTTGGGTATGGCTCAGGGAGATGGCCAAAGTCTGACATGAGCCCAGATTTTAAAAGTCCGAAACCAGGGCAACATAACGCCTAATACACTAGTTGGCTTCCACAGCCGAGCCCAAGTATAAGAAGGTCAAGTACCACGTCATTTAACCAACAACCACGTTCTTATACTAGCGGGTCCCAATGGCAAAAAAATTAGAAAAGGAACTTAAATTGAGTTAATATCTAGAGACGAGGTCAGACCTTTTTTTAAATTTTTCTCAATTTAAAGGCATCAATAATTGAAAAACTTTATGGAATTAAACAACACAATGCATCAGATGAACATTTAAATAACAATGATGATAGTTTTTCTTCTACTAATGGAATCCAAAATATTGCATTTCCTTCCTCCTCAGATTTTGGTTATACTTCAATTTGTGAATCTCTAGCTCGTCGAACTGCTGAAACAACAATAAATAGTGAAGAAGAATTGTTTAAAGTTGCGTTTGGTCGTGAACCTCCAAAAAGACGTGTTTCAATGGAAATGTTGAAAAAATTTGTGAGGAAGGCAAAAAGACAAAAGGTTTAATTTTTAATTATTCTTGACCCCCAAAAATAATTTTTTAAAATTTTTCTATAAAATTATAGAACGGCATTGAACAACAAAACCTTTCAATACCCCCTAATGGCTCTGTAAAATCTCCTCATCCTTGTCAAAATGGTGAAGATAATGGAATAAACAACACAAAAATTAACTCTGACAGGCGTCTATATAAAAGAGCAGAAAATTTCAAGGAAAGAAGAAAAATATTTGAATTGCCAGAACGGAAGCGACTTTTAATTGCAAGGATTGAAAAAGTTAAAAATTTTTTAATGAGTTTTTGCAACTATTGGGCCTCACCATAAGATATTCCTTGGAATTGGAAAGGATAGGATTTTTAATTTAGTCTCACTCAAATTGGGTTGGAGAGCTTATAGACCACCATTGGTTCTAATTAAAAAATTTTTTCCTTATTTTTAGGATTCTTCTATAAATTATGTTGAAGTAATAAACAATTACCCTCTAAAGTCTTATGTTGAACCAAGAATTGCCAGATTATGTGGGTATAATAGAAGAAAAGGAGTTGAAGAAGAAGAACATCAACCTAACTGGACTTGGTTTTCCCGACGTCATATTTCACTTCTTTTAGCAAATCGGTTTCTTTGAAATTTTTGAAGGAATATTTTTTTATTTTAATAGAATTTGGACAGCTATAGCAACTTTTGATGCCCATTTTCTCGTATTTTCAACACAAACTGGACGCCTTATTTTTGATGTTTGCCTTAAAGAACAAGCTTCATTTTTTCAACAATTAAATTTGGAAAAGTTATTAATTGGTGGATGTGGTGGAATTATAAGTGTTTGGTAAGGATTTTGAATTAAGGTTTCTATCCCGTCATTGGGGAGGGGAATTCCGAAGTTCATAGGCCCTATCCACTAATTTTCTGCAGCCCCGTCTCTGTAAAATCGGTCCTCGTCCGGTAAGGACTCATTTGTAGGGAATTCCTTGGTGATTGAATTGGATAGATTTTTGGGTTTCTCTTTAAGATATCGGAGTTTGAACCCAATTTTCTTCTATTTCAAAGTAACACTAGAAATTTGGGGAAATAATTTTTTAATAAATGTTTTTCTTTAAGGAATATACCTCAAAGAAAACAAGAAATGCAACAATCAATTGCCCCACTTTTTACTTTTCAAAGTTTTTTTTTAAATTTTTTTTCTTAAAAATAATTTAAAAAATTTAGATCAACAATTAATTAGTGCAATACTTTTACCTCAAACAAATAATGGAAATAATGGTGCTAAAGAAACATTTGCAGGAATTGATTTGAAATTTAGTGATTTGAATGTTTACAGATATTTGCCAAATTCTAATGGATGGTAAAGATTTAAAATTTATTTTTGGTTTTTATAAGGGTTCTTGTGCGGGGGGGGTATTTTGGTTAAAAAAACGTGTTAGGTGAGAATATCTATTTAAATTCAAAAAGCATGGGGAGATGAGGTCGTGGAAAAGGCCGCGTTAAGTTCTCGGTTATTGGAAATCTTCGGATATCCGCAGCCAAACTCACGAACTAAACAGAAAAATCCACGGTTCTGGTGTTCCTCTACATTTGGATGGGATGTGAAGGAACCTTGTTCGATCAAACAGGACCAAAGATTTTTCTGTTTGGTTTTTTGGGTTCGAACCGACAACTGAAGCCTAGTGGGTTGGAAAAAACCTCAACTTTTAAAACAAGACTTTTTTGAGACCCTTTGATAAGCTTTCTTTTTTAAAACCATATTTTCTTTAAATTTAAATAATTTTCTAGGTCTAAAATCAGCACATTATTTGATTACATAATAAAAAATGATGTTCCTGATGATATTGTTTCAATGTTAATGGAAGAAGAAGAAGAAACTCCTCAAGATGACTGATCTCTCTTTCGTTTATTTTTTAATTTTTTTTGTTAAAAATATTTTTATATTTTTGGTGTAAATTTTGAGCAAATTTTTTAGATAGTTTTTAGACGAGTTTTATGCTCTAAAAATATTTTTTAACCTTAAACTTTTTTAGATTTTCAGATTTTTAGACAAGTGAGGGAAATGCTTCCACTTTATCGTTTTAATTTATTATTCAATCAGAGGCTTTTGAAAAACCAAAATTTTTTATTTGTTCATTCTCTGGCTCACAATCAACAAAATATTCCTTCTGGGTTTTTAATAGGAGATGAGCCAACAAAAAAGAAGGAAAATTATACAAGTGTTCAACGAGAAAAAGAAAGGCGTGAACGTATAAATCAAATATCAGATGCTATGAATTTATATATAAAATCAATTAATGAACAAGAACAATTTATTAAAGATGAAATGGTTGGATTTGAAAGAGGAAAAAGACATTTGGCAAATATAATGGGTGTTGATCCTGAAACTATGACTCAAGTTTGTTTTTGTAATTTTTTTGTAGGGAGTTGGGGTATGAGTCTTTTTGGGGTTGGGATTTATTAGGGTTTGAATTTTTTAAAGATTTTTGGGGATTATCTGACAAGTCCTGGTTTTAATCGGGGTTAGGACTGTTGGGAATTCACCCAGAAATTTCTTAAACGTAGAGAATGGGGAGAGTCTTTGCTTCTAATGGGCTTGGGAGCAGGAGTTATGAGGCGAATCATATTTTGCTTTCATTGGGCTTGTGATCGGTGTAGCCTTACCTAGAAATTTTTAAGGCAGTGAATAGGAAACTAGTCTTTTTTTATTGAGTATGGGATGTTTGGAAGCTTTGTCCAGATTTTTTAAAGTGTAAGGGTCAAGAGCACCAAGTTTCGAGCAATCGTCTAGGGCATAATATTTGCAAAAATTTATTATTTTCAGAAACAAATCAACACATCAATTAAATATTTGTTTCCTTCTGGCTTATTCTCTTTAAAAACACGTCCTGTGATGCAACCCTATTCACTTGATCCAATAAAGAAAATTGATGTGGATCGATATGGAGTTCCTCGGCATACACTTTTTTATACTCTAAAACCTCGTTTCTTTGCTATTCTTTCGGTAAATTTTTTTGAGAATTTTTTTGAATTTTTTTTTTGGAATTTTAGGACATAAATAGGCGAACACTTCGTTTAGTTCGTGAATATGACAAAAAACAATTGGCGTTGCATAAGGGAGAAATTTCTGAATCTGAAGCAAAAGAAGGGACTTCATTACCCATGAATCGACATTTTTGGATTACAAAAGAAGTTTTGCAACTCAAAACTAATGGAGAAAGGATTACTGATGAAATGGTTTTTAAATTTAATTTTTTTAATTTTATTAATTTTTGTAATTTTAAGTTTGCTGGATTTGTTATGGCATTGGAATATATGGTTTGCAATTTTTTTTAAATTTGGATTTGTCTCTTAAGGATAGTTTTTATGGGGGCAAGTTTTGTGGATTTATTGACTCGTCAAAAATTAACGAGTCGAAGCCACTGACGAGTTAGGTCCTCGATAAACCTGACTTGAATTTGAACTTAAATGGCTTGAACTTTTTTGAACTCAATTAGTAAATCTGAAGAAATTTGGACTTTTTCCCGACCTAGTCCCAGATAAGAAAAAATTTTAAAATCTGATTAAAACCCTGACTTGCTTCTTTTCTCAACCTGGTCCTATCTCGGATCGTAACATGTTATCATATAAGTTGTGATGGCTTCTATTTATTAATTTCCGCAAAATTTATCCTCAAAATTTTTTATAATAAAATTTTTTTTCAAGTCTCAACTACCAAATGCTAGTCTAGAAAAAGAATTTATTGATGATTATCGAACTTTGCGTTCTGGAGATGTTGGAAATGAAACTTTACGTCTTTATCTTTCTGAATTGCCAATAGTTTGTTTTTAATAAATTTTTAACTAATTTTTTCTAATTTTCTAAGGCTCATGTCCACCCAGAAACTGGCTTTTTAGAAGCTCATGGACATTCTCATGTTAAAGCAACAATTGCTACAGCTTTAGTAAGTACTGGTGGAACAGGAAAAATTACAATTGATGGACATCATTATGATATTTTGAGGGATATACAAGCGAGGTTTTTATAAATTTTTGAAAAGAAATTTTGAAATATTTTGAAATTTTAAAGAGAAATTCTTTTATCTCCATTAATTGTTACTGGTCTTCTCGGAAAAGTTGATATTGAAGCAAAAGTAATTAATGGAACTGGTGGGAAATCTACAACTCCTAGAGCCATTAGAACAGCAACAGCTTTAGCATTGGCCGCCTTATATCCGGATTTGGCTGAAAGATTGAGATTGGCTGGAATGTTGAATTATGATAAACGAAGAAGAGAGAGGAATAAGGTTTTTTTATTTTTTTTAAATTGATAAGGTGGGGGGAGAAGATAGTTTTGTGTAATGTGAGGGGGTGGTGTGGGGGTCGGTCTGTCTGATTTCTCCAATATTTTTACTTGTAGTTTCCGGGGATTTTCTGGTTTTCTAATTTTGTGGTTATGCTTTTGTAGGATAGCTTATGACATTTTTTAATGTAGAGGAAGAAAATATTTTTGTAAAAGGTCCATTGTTTTCTTTAAGTCTGTGTTCTCTAGGATTTTCTACGATTTCTAAATCCACGGTTCCCAGGCGTCTCCAAATTTTTTTCTTTTAATGTTTTCAAATTTTTAGCCAAGTCAAAAAGGTGCAAGAGCAAAATGGATTTGGTGTAAACGTTAGGAATTTTTTTGTTTTAATAATTCACTTTTTGGGATTGTAAAAAATTTTTTTGCTGAGGAAAGAATTTTTTAAATTCAATTAGGTAATTTAGTAGTTAAATGAAATTAATTTTCAATCCCAAATAAATGAATATTATTAAAAATTTGAATTGTTTTATTTTCTCTATTTTATTTTGTTATTTTAGGAATATTTTTTTGTTTAAATAAAAAATTTTGAATTTTAATTTTAATTCTAATTTCTATATTTTATTTTATAATTTTGAAAAAATATTTTTTTTAATTTATTTTAAATATTTTTAAAATAATTTTCTAGATTTATTTTTAAAATTAATATTTTCTTATTATTGTCAAACAATTATTGTGCAAATATTTAAGTGGAATTAAACAACAACAACAAATTTATATCTACAAATTTATTTATTTTTACTGCAAAACAAGGAAACAATTAAATTCATTTTGTGTGTGAATGGATGGATTAATTGATGCATAAATATATACAATAAAAGGTTGGGAGATTTTCTTTTTTATTTTTGAATTGATATTTCTTTGGGTGGTAAATAGGGGCGAACCTCACCATATGAGATACGATCTTGGGGATATAATTAGGCTACTATAGAGACTTGTGTATTTTAAATGGGGAGGTGGTGTTACTAAGGGTTTTCCATCCATGTGGGGACCCTTAGAAGACACCCAAGTATTTGTAAAAATATTTTGAATCTAAGTTTGAATTTGTATTATTGGGTCTATTTTATATTGAAGGAGAGGTCCAACTGTATATCAAATTAACTGTCCAACCATGAGTATATCTAAAAGTAAGGTTCGACCCCAAATTGTCCACACATCCGGAGAAATACAAAAAAAGCTTTACAAAAAATTTAAAAAATTTTGTTTCCATTCCTTTTAAAAGATTTTTTTCTTGTTTTCCATTTTTCCAAATTTATTCTCTTATTTTTTTTCTCATCATTTTCATATTCTAATTTAACTATAAAATTGGTTGGTTATTGGGGTAGGGAGGGAGGCCATTATTTATTTTTATTTAATATAATTTTTTTTCTAATTTTTATTTTTTTTAACAATCTCTTCCCAGCTGCGATATTTAATATATTTTTATTTATTTTTTTACTTTTTTTTTACTTGAATATTTTTATACTTTATATGTGCATATAGTCAATGAGTTTTATTTTATCTTTTTTTTCTTCCCATTTAGTTTTAGCCTTCAAAATTCTTTTTATTTTTCGATTTTGTTATTATTGAGTATTCTTTTTTTAATGTTTAAGTTGGAGAGAAAAAATGTTGGAAATAAAGAAAGCTAAAAATGCTAAAATTAAATGGAAATATATTAAGTAGCTTATGTTGTTAGAACAAATGTTTCTGTTTCTTGTAGGCAATTTAGTCCGTAATTATTTGATTCTGATAGTTCGAGTGTGTGGTGTAGTGGTTGCATTCTTGGTTAGTGTTGGTGAGGAGCAAGGTTCGAGTCCTGTTGTTGCTTATTATTTTTCTAGATTATTTTTTTGGCGGTCTAAAATTTTTTTAGTATTTTATATATTTTCTAAACTTGTTTTTTTGTTTTTTACATGTTTCCTGAATCTAGATAATTTTAATAACTCGTTCAAATCTTTCCTGTTTCTTCTTTTTCATTAAGAAAGCTCTCTAATTTTCCTCCTCTTCTCTCTATTATTAATCAACTAATTAATTTTTTAAAAATTAATTTCTCAACCTTTTTTTCCTTTCTTTTATTAAATATTAAATAAAATCTAAATTACTTAACATTCTCAATTTTTATAAATAAAATCGATTTTGCGACCCAATAAATGAAAATTGTAGAAAAAAAATATAAAATTGGGAAGCCATTAAAAAGGGCAAAACTCTCTCTGGTTAAACACACACACAATAATGTTTTGTTTATTAAATATATTTTTATTTTTAAGTCGTGGATATAAGTAAATGAGAGAAAAGAAAAAAAATTTTAGGTTGAAAAAGAGGGGGAGAATTATTGACTTCATTTTGGGGGATTTCGTGAGAGTCGGGCATGATTAGGATTGAATCTTCCCTGGTTTTTCCGATTTCTGGTTAGTAAAGTTAGGCAAATCGAGATCTTTGAGGTATGGGCTATTCCCACTATTTCCCAGAGAGATCCAGTGAGATAGAGCTCGCCAGAGTTAATGGATCTTTCGGAGTCCTACTTCTTCCCAAATTTCCTCCCCCCTTTCCCATTTCCGGTAAAATTAGGCCAGTCGGAACTACCAGGATTTTCTAAAGAAATTCAGTACCTACCAGTCATTCGAGCTCCAAGTTTAATTTTTTGCCTGGCTCTATCCCGAAATATATTGTCATCTTAACATTTGATCTTCTCTATAATTCTTTTAAATTTTTAAAATTCAAAAAATGTTATTAATTTGTAGCAAGCTACCTCTTAAAAAGTAACGTTTAAAAACAAACAATAAAAAATCCAAAGATAGCTTTCTAGCCTTATTTTTCTTTATTTTTTCTTAAATAACTAAAAACTACTCTTTCTTGTTTTTAACCACCTCACAAAATTTCCTCCTCCTCAATCTTTAAATCCATGCATTTTTTTATATTTATATTTTATACACACTTTTACACACATTTTCATTTTGTGAGTTGCTTCGCTTTCCAAAAATTTATTTTTATATATTTATTTTTATTATATTGATTTAGCGACCGGCCTGGTGGTTGTGGAAGGAGATGGTGGTGGTGATGATGTTGTTGATGATGGCGGATGGTTAAAGATTCTTCGACTCCTTCCCGCTTTTCTCATCATCCCCTTCAACTACTAATTTTCTCTCCAAAGTCCAAAACCTCTTTTTTCAATTTTTATCCTTTAGCCAAATAAATATTACCTTAAAATCTTCCCTATAATAGACTGCCCCTTCCCCTCCTCTCTAAATTAATGCCCCTTCTAAATAGGATGTCTTTCTAAAGTTGAATGCTCCTTCCAAAAATTTTTTGAAAGGTGATTGAAAATAGAATACTACCCTTCAGTTGAACGCCTCCCCTCCAGCCTCCAGTTGAATGCTCCTTTGGGAGGTGATTGAAAAATAGATTGCCTGAGCAGTCTATTTAGAGATTTTAAGGGGTATCATTTTTAGGACCACTTTTTTGTTAAAAATATTTGTAGACTTCCATGTTATATGTATATCTCAATGGAGTCGAGAGCTTCTTCTCTCCCTCCTCCTTTCATCCAACCTTTTTCCCCTTTAAAAATTTTGGTGTTAATAATTTATTTATATTTTTTTAATTTTATATTCTTGCCAGTTTTCACACATTCTTGCTTGTTTTAAGCTTTAAAATTTATTTATTTATTTATTTAATAATGCTCCTCTCCAAACACAACCTCCCCTTTTTTTAACCCTTTTTATTTCTTTAACTCTTTATTTTTTTAAAAACGAGAAGCGACATTTTTCATTTTCAGACTTTTTACATATATACAACAAAACAACATTAAATATATATTCATTTTCTCTATTATTGGTGCTTGCTTTTTTTTATATATTTTTAAAATCTTCTCACACCGCCTGCCCAATAATATAATTTTTCTTTTTTTTTTATATTGACATTTGGAAAAAGAAATTATAAGGAGAAACAACAAAAATAATTTTTAATTTTTAAAGTTTTTGGAAGAAGAAAAGAAAATGGCACCAAATATGTATAGGGTTGGAGGTACTTTTTTTTTCTAAATGTAAAAATTTTTGTGGGGAGAGAAAGGTAGGTTGATGTTGAGAGAGGTGGGTGTTTAAGGTGTAGTTGTCCCTGATCCTAGGGAGGAGGGTGAAGAGGTGGTTATTGTTCTAATGGTTGCCCCTGGTCCTCGTTTAGTTGTTTGCTGGTTGAGAGGGTTTTGCTGGTATGTTGCTGAGTGGGTGGGTGTCCTTGTTCCCTCACTTGTTCCTTTACTAGGGGAAGTTGAAGGGGTTGAGAATTTAAAATTTTTTTTTGATTTCTGATTTTCCTAAATTTTAGATTATGTCTATTTCGAAGCGCAACCAGCTGCACCTTTCCATATTCGAAGAGTTGAAGAATTAAATAAGGTAGAGTTTTTTTGTGTTTTTAGTGAATCATTTTTGCCTTTTTTGGCTAGTCAATGCATTTTTATTAATTTCCTTACTATCTTAAGTGTGGTTGAGTGGTTTAGTGGTAGGTTCTGAATTTTGACTATGCAGCGTTCGATACCTTTTGGTGGTATTTATTTTTCCCATTGCTTCTTTGTCCTAGAAAAAAGATTTTTTGAAAAATTAAAAAAAAATCCTGAAAAAATTTTTTTAACTTTTAATTTTTTTTCATAATTTTTTCAGACTTCAACTGGAGCAGTAGAAGCAAAAGTTACTTGTTTTTTTAGACGTCGTGATTTGCCTGATTCAATTCTTAAAATTGCTGATCAAGCTGAGAGGCAGAATAAAATTTGTATTTTTTTTATTTAAAAGATTTTTTGAAAATTTTTTTTAATTTTTTAGTATCAAAACCGCGTAGAACTTTGTTAGATTTGAAGGAAAGTGTTACTTCTTCAGCTCCTGTTCTAGAAGCTAATGGAGGGGACTCAAAATCTGCTAGTCCAAAAGAAAATGGATTGCCTGAATCTAGTAATGAGGCACAAAATTCTGCAAATTTGGACGATGGGAAAAAAGGTTTCTTAAAAATTAATTTTTATTAAAACACACTGGGGTGACTTAATAAAAAAAGTTTTGGAAAGGTTTTTTTATTTTAAAATTTATTAAGTCACACTGGGGTGTTGGGTTGGACTTAGCCTTTTGTGACTCGCTCCGGCTCCAGGATTTTCGAATTCCTGGCTTTGGCTCCAGGATTAGCTCCTGGACTAGCGCTCTTAAAATCCTTCCTTTGGCCCCGGTTTCAGAGCCTGTTCCATGCTACCTCCCGGAGTCATACCCAGCACTGTTGGTTGTTTAAATGAGAAAGTTCTGTTTGTTTTTTTAAACTTTCATTTTTTCAGAGTCATGTTCTTCTCATTCTCAAAATAACAACGATGAGGGCAACGTTAGCAGCAGCACAACAACTTTTTCACATCCAAAATGTTATGGTTTTGCTGGTCTTCCACGTGGAGCAACAAATCTAACTTCAGAACAATTACATGAATTACGTCAAAAAGAATTATTTCTTTCAAGAATTGTTGAAACATTGCCAGCAACACAAGTATAAAATTAAAAAAATTTTTTTGAAATTTTTGAAAAATTTTAGATTCGTGGTAAATGTTCGGTAGTAATATTAAATGATGTGGAAACCTGTGATATGTATATTGGGAAAGATGTAAGGGGATTTTAAAAAAAATTATTTTTGTTGGTCAGATACACCAGAGGTCGATCGGAATTTCGATTTTCGAAAATTTGAGCTGATTTCCGAGTTCCGACTTTTGAGCCATATCCGACAGTTCTGACTTCCGGCACCTTTGTCATTTCAGATCGACCTCTGTGTTATACGAAAACCAGTATTTTCGGACATATGTATGCGGACTCATTGGTCAGCTATCACTTCTTTGGATTCAAAAAAGAATATGAATACTCTGACTAATACAAGTCGGCATAAATATGTCCGCAACTACTTGTTTGGGATGACCCCCAAGTACCTTCTTGTTTTCTCTTTTAATTTTTATTTTTTAAAGGATTCATTTTTCTATTCACTTGTTTACGATCCTTCAAATCAAACATTATTGGCAGATAAAGGACGTATTGAAATTGGAAATAGACATCAAGCAATAATTCCTGATTTGTTAAATGAAAAAAATAAAAATGATTTGGAAACAATGGAATGTGATGATGTTGAAAGTGGAAATGGAAGAGTGGATGATGATGAAGAAAAAATGGATGATGAAATTGGAAATGAGGAAAAAAATGGGCATGAGGTTTTTTTAATTTTTTTTTTGATATTGGGGTTGGGGCATTTTTTGTTGGGAAAGTGTGTTATAGATCCCTGGACTGTTTGAGTTCTTGTGGATTCCTGGACTCATCCCTGCTTTCTACTGATATGTTCAGTGATAGTACAAATAATCCTCCATTTTCTTCCTGTCTTTTGCTGAATTCTATCTTTTTCTGTCTTTTGTTTTTCTGCCTTCAATTTTCTTTTTTCTTTTCCCTTCCCTTCATTTTTTTAAATAAGGAAGAATTCATTCCTGTTTTTCGGGATATGTTTACTGATTTTCCAGGGATCCGCCATTCTTCCTCTTACATTATTCAGTCAAGGTTGATGGCACACAAACTTTTTAACAATATGGAGCCTTATTTCTATATAACAATCTTTTCTATTTTTACAGGATAAAAAAGATGAAGAAAAACATCAAAATAAAAAAGCTGAAGAAGAAGAAGACGACGATAAAGCATCTTCATCATCACTAAAAGAAGCTTCCAAAATTTCAAAAAATTCATCAACAAAACATCAATTTCATTTTGAAGGCGAAACAAGGCGAGAAAGATGTGTTTATCATCCATACCATAATCTTTCAGATTTGGAAATTGATCAATTTTTATTAATTGCAAGGTTTTTTTTTGAAAATTTTTTAAGTAAAATTAATTTTTTAATTAAAGAGCTGTTGGAACATTTTCTCGAGCATTAGACAGTTCCTCTTCTATTAAAATACCAACACTTCATCAAACAGCAGCGGCAGCTTCACGAGATATTACACTTTTACATGCTATGGCTTTATTGCATCAATCAAACTACGATATGGGAAAGGTTGTGGTAAATTAATTAATAATTTTTTAATAGAAAAACAAAAAAAAATTCCAATGAAAAATAAGTTAGGGAGGTCTATAGAGGAGGGGATCTAGAGAAATATTTGTAAGGCCCAACTAAAATTATATAGGCTTATGTATGAAAAAAATCCTCAGGGTTCCCGAGGCTGACTGAAGATGTTTTTAAGACCAACAGCTCCTTTAATCTTTTTTATGATTTTTGGATTGATTGAAAGCTTTTGATTAACCTTCTTGATAAACCCACAGGAATCGATGAGGTCCTATTGTCCCTTAAAAATGTTGTGTGGCCAAATAAACATTGAACTAACACGATTTTCGTGATTCGTGTTGCTCTTACTTTTATTAAAATAATTTTTTTAATTTAATTTTTTGGGATCATATACGTTCTGAAATCGAGTTTTTAATGTTAATTTTGATTTTAATTTATAAATACAAGTTTATATATTTATTTTTTAAAGGCAACAGGTTTTCTCGTCCCCCCAGCAGACAACAACCACCACTATCCACTTGAAACAGATAAATTAACGTCAAATAAAACAGCAATTTTGGGTGGTCCAATACTTTGTAGAGATCAATTAGAAGAATGGTCAGCTTCTGAATCAACTCTTTTTGAGGAGGGTGTTGACAGATGTGTGAAAGATTTTCATGATATTCGGCTAGACTTTGTAAGTAAGGGAGGGGGTTTTATGAGGGTGTTAAGAAATGAGAGACTGGCCTAAATCTGAATCCATACCTTTTGGATTTAAAGTCCAAAAGATCTGGATTTAAAGTTTTTTTGACCTTAATTTTTTCTTTGACTTAAGGTCAAGGAATCTGGTTCAACTAATCTCTAAAAAATTTTTCACCATTAATAAAAAAAATTTCAGCTTCCCTGGAAATCAATACGCGATATTGTTGAATACTACTATATGTGGAAGACGACTTCGCGTTATGCTGAAATTAAAAAAACCAAACATACAGATCGAGGTTTGTTTTGTTTGTTTTTAAAGTGAAAATATGAATGGACTACAAGACTTTTTTAGGAGTGTTTGTTATGTTAAGGTTTGGTTGAGTGGTATCGTCCGTGGTTTGCCCTATAAAGGGTCGAAGGTTCGACTCCTGTTGCTTACCCTTTATTTTTCTTTGAAGAATAAACTAAAAAAATTTAAATTTGATGATTTGAGATTTTTTTTTAATTTTTTCTAAAATTTTTTAAAATTTTTTTCAGAAAATAAACTCAATGTAGTCTACATTCCAAGTTATAATAAGCCAACAATTAATTTAATTAATTCTGCACCAACACCTTTTGAATGTGTTAAAAGTAATTATCCTTGTGAAGGATGTAATGTATGTTTTAAAGATTTTTTTTAATTTTATTTATTATTTTTTAAAGATAATAGAAGCTTATCAATGGTATTTGTGGGGACCAGCAAATCAATTGAGGCTTTGTGGTGATTGTTGGAATATTTGGAAAAAGAGAGGAGGTTTAACTAATCCTCATGAATTAGGTTTGCTTTAATTTTTTTATTTTTTTTTTGAAATTCAGAGGGTAAGAGATAGGTTCAGAGGAGTAGGGAGATAAATCTTGAATTTTTCTTAGGTTCAATGGTTTCTTTTTTTTCTTTCCCGACTTTTGATTCTTTTCTTGATTTAAAGTCAAGGATCCAAGGTCATTTAGTCCTCTTGTCCCATACGTAGCTATAGGAGGGCCTCTACTTACCGAAAATTTCTTTTTTTCTGGCTTCTCCTCTTTCTTTAATGCTTCCAATAAAACTTTTGGACAGACTAAAACTCATAAATTTTTAGATACTTTTGATTTGGATGGTTTAAATGAAGGAGGACGTTCTGCTGTTAGTAGTGGTCAAGCTGGCGCGGTATAAAAAATTTTTTTCTTTTAAATAATTTAAATATTTTTTTGAAGAATCGTCAAAATGTTAATTCAAAGAATTCATCAAATAGTGGTCCTCAACAACAGCAACAACAAACATTGTCGACCTCATCAAAAAATGTTGGTGGAAGTTTAATTCCTTCTTCAATATCAGGACAAATTTTGATTGGACAAAAAGGCCGTGTAGCTTTTTGCCTTAATGCACCATTAGAAACTCGAATAGCTAGAAGGTTTTTTTGAATTTATAAAATTTTAAAAAATATTTTTTTTCAGGATAGCTCCTAAACAAATTTTTAATGTTCGTAAAGCAGCTAGAGCACCTTTCTTTGAATTTGATCTGAAAACAGTTCAGGATTATTGTTAGTTTTTATTTTTTTATATTTTTGAGAGGGTTTCTATGGGCACCAGATCCTTTTAAGAAGATTTAGGGCGATGGGTCTGGAGATTGAGGGGGTATACAGGTTAGAAATGTTCCAAGGCCAATTTATTTCGAGGGTATTTTTGGGTAACCGATCAACGTCCAAGAAGATTCTTCGGGACTTGGTCCTTCAAAGAGGATGACTCCGGACTTTGTGATACTTTTTGAGGAGGTATACTCGGCTAGAATGTCCTGGAACCATAAATAATTCGTAGAATCAAGTGATCGGTTCAATTCTTTCCAGTGGGATAAAGTGTCATTTATTACTTAAAAATCAATTTTTTTTTAGATTTTTGCCGTCCATTATCCGACATTTTACAAGCTGCTCGACAACTCCCACATGGTAATCATATTTCTCGTTCTGCTATTGAACATCTTTCAAATTTGCACAAAAAGAGGGCTATAATTGCAAATGGAGGAAAATAAAAAAAGAAGAAAATTGAAATCCTCATTTCCTCATCCATTTTTTGAAAAATTCCCAAAGAATAATACACATTGTTCTGTTTTTTATCTGTTATATAAATTTCGCCAGAGGGATTTCAAATGTAAAAAGAATGTTCTGGAACATTTGATTATCTGAAAATATTCTCGCTGTTTGACATTTTCTGTTTTGTTTACACTTTGAAATGCCTTGAGTTTACATTTTGAAGTCCCTCATAATAGCGAAATAGTGTGTTATACTTTTGCAGAGAAACAAAGTTTACTTTTTATAACGCGTATTGATTTTCGTCCGCCATTATTTTTGGCTTTGTACTTTATTGATTTTTTTCTCTTTTTCTTTGTCTAACATTCTCTCTTTTTTTAGATATTTTACTCTGACCAATGCCTTCTTTTGCTCAGCCATGTTCCGCCGCGCGAACATTACCTCATCAATCAGACCAAGTTCAGCTTCCCTTTTTCCTGTTTCATCAGGTTTTTTTATTTTGATATCTTTATCTGTATTTTATTTTATAGCAATGATGATGCTGATGTTCACAGATGCTGCTGATGTTCATCCGCCTCCTGGTGCTGAAGGAGCCAGGAGTTGCTTCCTCTTTGATGCTGGGTGGAGGCTCTGGGGAACACCTAAATGGGGGGAGGTTTGGGGGGACCACCTTGTTTTCCATATGTCTGGGAAACATAGACTAATCTGAACAGTATAAGGGAAACCTTAACGACTGTCAATTTTTAAAATTTTATCTAAATTTTTTTTTATTCCAGGTTGCTGCTTTTTGGACAAAAATTTAAGGTCTGCGGTCTTGAAAAAATTTTGAATCAACTTAATGGTATGCTGCTCTGGATTCAAAAACATGGTTTAATTGGAAATTGGTGATTTTTTAGTCATGGGGTCTCTAAATTTAATGTGGTCGTCCCACATATTTTGTCCGGGATTTCTCCCTAGGTCGGCCTTTGGGTCTTTTCTGGTGACTGTCAGGGTCTTTTTGACTTACTGACCCGTCAGGGTTTTATAACTTACTGACTGTCAGGGTCTTCTTGACTTACTGACCCGTCACGGCTTCGATTGCATTTTTTAGTCGTGGGGTCTCTAAATTTAATGTGGTCGTTCCACATATTTTGTCCGGGATTACTGACTGTCAGGGTCTTTTTGACTTACTGACCCGTCAGGGTTTTATAACTTACTGACTGTCAGGGTCTTCTTGACTTACTGACCCGTCAGAGCTTCGATTGCATTTTTTAGTCGTGGGGTCTCTAAATTTAATGTGGTCGTTCCACATATTTTGTCCGGGATTACTGACTGTCAGGGTCTTTTTGACTTACTGACCCGTCAGGGTTTTATAACTTACTGACTGTCAGGGTCTTTTTGACTTACTGACCCGTCAGGGTTTTATAACTTACTGACTGTCAGGGTCTTCTTGACTTACTGACCCGTCACGGCTTCGATTGCATTTTTTAGTCGTGGGGTCTCTAAATTTAATGTGGTCGTTCCACATATTTTGTCCGGGATTTCTCCCTTGGTGCGTCTTTGGGTCTTTTCTGGTGACTGTCAGGGTCTTTTTGACTTACTTTAAATGAGGACTATCTTTTATTTGAGCAGCATATTATTCTTTTCTGGACAGCGCTTTTTTGGACGGCTTTGCAGTATGTAGAAAATGAAGGACGCGCGCGGAATTTTTAAGGTTTGTTTTTATTTTTTTGTTAGGGTTTCCCTTAATACTGTTCTAAATAGAGTCGGTATAATCCTTTCCCATTATATGCCTGTGGTATGGGTGATTTTGATCCAGCATTTTCTCGACCTCACAAATTATTTGTCCCTTGAGTTCCATTGGTTCGGTTAGGTTCCACCGCCGTCTTCATTACCAATTCAGTGTCAATTACTCAAGCTGCATTAATTCCTCTTCATCTGTTCCATCAGGTTTTTTTAATTTTTATTTATTCATATTTTTATTTTCACAATGCTCGCCTTTGTTTGAAAAAAGTTGATCCGCCATGAATCTGAATTGGTCAACACGTTGGCTGAGAGATGAAAAAGGTTTATTTTATGATACTCTTTATTTCATGGATTAGAACTTGTGTTGTTTCTGTCTTTTCAAAAAGTGTAACCGGTAATATTGAACCTGAAAGACCCCATTTTTTCCTCCCCAAATATCTACAGAATTGTCAGACTTTTTCCTTTCTTCCAATTGCCTCTCTACCTCTTTTATGGAAGAAAGCAAAATTGATAGGGAAGGAGTCTGACCATTCTGCATATTTAAGGACTTGGGAGGAATTCTTCATAAAAACGACCTTTCAAAAACATTTTTCAATATCTCTTATAAGGATGATGGACAGTATTGACAATTATTTTTTCAGGAACAAGCTCAACTTCAAAAAGCAATAAGAGCTTCAACTTCCAGCAGTTCATGGTTCACTTTTGGAAGCTCCCCTCAACCCTTTTCGAGAAAAGAGGTTTCCTTGATAGAACAATTTATTAGATTCTTAGAGCAAGAATCTGTTGACAACACAAAATCGATGCTTGCCTTGCCTCCTATTGAGGTTTAAATTTGAATTGAATATTTAAGCAATTTTTCTTTCCAAATAGAGCACCCAATAGGATTTTTTATTAATTTTTTAAATGCTTATGTTTAATTCATATTTAAATTTAAGAAGTTGTCGTGTGGTATAATGGTTAGGGTGTTTGTCTACCATAGTTGAAGGGTCATGAGTTCGAATCCTTTTGGTTGCCTGTATTTTTGTAATTGTTCAAAAATTGCTTTTTAATAGAAATTAAATTTTTTGCTTTTAAAATCTTTTAAAAAATAAAAAAAATTTCCTCGTTTTTAATGTTAAGTGTCCGCATTTAGATCACCTTCGTCTACAGATTTGAAGTCTATACTTGACTCTTGATTTTAATTTAATAAATTGCCTTATGTGATAAATAAAATTTTAATATATTTTTATGTAGAATAAAGTCGTATTTCTATATTTTGTAATTAAAAATTGATATATCGATTAGTATTGATTTTATCGATTGATATCGATTTTTGAAATTTTAGAATTTTTTAAAAATAAATTATCGATTAGTATTGATTTTATCGATTGATATCGATTTTTTGGAAATTTAGAATTTTTTAAAAATAAATTATCGATTAGTATTGATTTTATCGATTGATATCGATTTTTTGGAAACTTAGAATTTTTTAAAAATAAATTATCGATTAGTATTGATTTTATCGATTGATATCGATTTTTTGGAAATTTAGAATTTTTTAAAAATAAATTATCGATTAGTATTGATTTTATCGATTGATATCGATTTTTTGGAAATTAAGAATTTTTTAAAAATAAATTATCGATTAGTATTGATTTTATCGATTGATATCGATTTTTTGGAAATTTAGAATTTTTTAAAAATAAATTATCGATTAGTATTGATTTTATCGATTGATATCGATTTTTTGGAAATTTAGAATTTTTTAAAAATAAATTATCGATTAGTATTGATTTTATCGATTGATATCGATTTTTTGGAAATTTAGAATTTTTTAAAAATAAATTATCGATTAGATTGATTTTATCGATTGATATCGATTTTTTGGAAATTAAAGTATTTTGTTTTTATTTACTTGAAGACAAAAATGCCTCATAGTTATAAATACGACAAAATACATCTTAGTTATAAATGCGACAAAATGCCACACAGTTCAAAATAGACAAAATGCATCCTAGTTATAAATGCGACAAAATGCATCCTAGTTACAAATGCGACAAAATGCATCTTAGTTATAAATGCGACAAAATGCATCTTATTTATAAATGTGACAAAATGCCACACAGTTCAAAATACGACAAAATGCATCCTAGTTATAAATGCGACAAAATGCATCCTAGTTACAAATGCGACAAAATGCATCTTAGTTATAAATGCGACAAAATGCATCTTATTTATAAATGTGACAAAATGCCACACAGTTCAAAATACGACAAAATGCATCCTAGTTACAAATGCGACAAAATGCATCTTAGTTATAAATGCGACAAAATGCCTAATAGTAGTAAACCCGACAAAAGAACTCTTAGTCATAATCGCGACAAAATGCCAATGTTCATAATATGACAAAATGCACCTCTCGAAATGTAAAATTTTATAATATATAAAATTATATATAAAATATATTTAATTCTAATTTTCTGAATGTCGGTAAGGACAAGTTGAGGCCAAATTTGAGGAATGTACAAATATTCGATGACTCGTTCAAATCAAGGGCATATTCTGTTGTTTCCTCTAGTTAAAAGTGTCCTAGAAATATTTAATTTTTCAATTTAAATTAATTTCTCACTTGAAAATAAAAGCGGCAAGTACTCCACCCAACAAAGGACCTAACCAAAAAACAAAATGAGAAGTCCAAATTGGATCAGTTAATTTTGTGCCAGGCCCCTAAAATTAAAAAAAAATTAAAAATTTATTGAAAATTCCAAACATTTTGTAAAAAATAGCTGGCAACAAGGCAAGGACCAAAAGATCTTGCTGGATTCATTGAAGCACCGCTAAGTGTGGCTCTAAAAATATTTTAAAAAAATTATTGATGAATTTAAAAATAATTTTAACAATTTTTTATTAAAATAAAAAATGTCAGAAGGCAAACGGACTCGAACCCTCAACACCCATGGGGTGTAGTCCGACACACTACCGACTTGACCACAAACAACATATTCGGGATTAATTGCAATTTGCTTATATACATACAGGGATTTAATTAAAATTAATTAAATTACCCAGCAAATATATCCAAAGCAACAGTCATTCCAATAGCTAAAGGGGCAATGGAAACAGTTGATGTATCGACAGCGCATGTAAGAATTGTTTGGGCTAAAATTGCTGTCAAAATTAATTCAACCATTGCTGCCTAAAATTTTTTTTGATTTTTGAAGAAATTTTTCAAAAACCTGATACCAAAGTTGATTAGGAGGGACTATAGTAGCTCCACCAGCAATTGAATCATATTGTTTTTGGTCTGTCACAAACTTAAACAGAATTTAATAAAATTTAAAATATCTTGGTATTAATTAGGGGGAGGGGGCTAAGGCCCGGGATTTCTCTTGGACCCTAAAGGCCCAAGGATCTGACCAGGTAAATATTTGTTTTTCGAATCAAGCCCTCTTTTCTTGTCGCATATATCGTAAAACACAAAAAAATTAAAAAAAAAACCTTGGGACTGGACCATGACAAGATCAAAATAATTTTTAAATTTACCCTAACAATTAAAGCCCCACAAAATCCTCCAGCCAACTGTGATATCCAATAAAATATAGCATTTAAAATCTTCATTTTGCCTACAAGTACAACAGCTAATGAAATAGCTGGGTTGAAATGGGCACCACTGAAAAATAAAAAAGAGATAAGAAGGATTAAAGGAACCCTGAAAATTTTGACTTTGGTTTAAATTTTAAGGAGGAAAGGGGAAAATCCACCAGATTTAATAGAATGACGTTTTTTTGTCTGAATTTATGTCTGGATTCAATCAAAAAAGTTGTAAAACAAAAAATGGTCCAACGACTTCTTGGCATCAAAAACTCCAAAATTAATTTTAAAAAATAAGAGGGGAGAAGGAGCACGTCCATGCGGATTTATCCAAAATATTGCAGAAATTAAAAAATCACCTAATATGTCCAAAAGAAGAAACCAAAGCAAACACGGTCAATCCATGAGCAAAAGCAGCATGTAACACAGCATTGGAATTTGATATAATATTTAAACCGGAAAGGGAACCAATAAACGTTAAAAGCAACGTTCCAATAAATTCTGCAGACAATTTACTTTAAAAGAAAAATTTTTTGGAAAATTTTCAAAAAATTCTGTAAATTACCTAATCATTGTAAAAGGCCTATCTCTCAATAAATATCCAACATTTCCTCCTCTATTATTATTTTCTCCAGAAGAATTTTCCATTCCGCTTGCACTGCTTAATGAGCCACCTCTCATAAATGTCTGGGAAAATTGAAAATTTATTTTATTTAAAAAAATAATTGTGTAAATATTTGGGGGAAATTTAAGAGAAAAAAAGACCACTTTTGCCACTTTTGTGGCACAAATAAAAAAAAATAATAATAGGGCGAATATGGACTATTAACAATAAGAATCAAAGCTGTAACTTAATTAAGTTTTTGTTTAAATTTTTTACTAGAAAACTTCAAAAAATTCTAAGAATAAATTCTAAAAATAAATTCTAAAAAAAAAATCCTAAAAAAGCATGACTGACGTTTATAGAGACAATACCACACACACCAAAATTAAATTAAATAACAATAAAAAAAAATAAAAATAAATTTTTAAGAGGGTCGTTAAAAGCTTTTATTATTTTATTAATTTTTAATAAAAAAAAGGAGGGCACTTAATAAAATTGCACTTTCTTAATAGAAAAAAATATATAATTTTATAAAAAATGTTTAGAAAAAATATTTGAAGTCAAAAAAATATTCTAGGAAGGGAAAAAATTTTTAAACTCAAAAAAATTTTTTTAATCGAAAAAAATCAAAAACCCCTTAAAAATTTCAAAAATACCAAAAATTATTTTCTGTGAGAAAATTAAAAAACCCGAAAAAAATTTTTTAGAACCATGTGGTTTGTTTCCAATTATATATTAGTAAATACTGGGAATTTAATATATGGGAAAATATATATTTTTAAAAAAATATGAATAGAATTTCTCATTATTTTTGAATAAATTATATAAAAAAATTGGCAAAAATAATGGAAAAAGCTACAAAAAATTCGGAAACACAAAAAAATAACAACACCCAATTAATTGAGATTTTAATTGAAGAAAACAATTATTTATTTTAACTAACTACTTAATTGGTTTTTAAATTAATTGGTCTCTCAATTAAAAACACAATTAATTGGTTATTCAATTAAAAATCCCCCAATTAATTGTTTCCACCAATTAATTGTTTTCCCCAATTAATTGGTCTTTTTAAATTAATTGGCCACTCAATTTAAGCAGTCCACAATTATTTGATTCAAAACCAATTAATTGTTTTCTTTAATTTTAATTAATTATTAACTACCTTTGTAAATGCCCCACTCCAAGGACTATCACCTCCACCACCTCCATTATTGTTATCATTAATTCCACTGCTGTTATAAATTCCAGGAGTAACCACAGACGTAACCGGCACCAATAAACAATGATCTGCAGGTTTTCCAACGGGGACAATAACTTTGTTTCCAATACTTCGATAGGTAGGGATTGGAATATTTGAAGAAGTTGTGTAGCTTGGAGAAGCCATTAATTAGGTAATCACTGAAAAATAAAAACAATTAATTGGTTTTGAAAAACAAATAAATTTAAGAAAAACAGTTAATTGTTCAAAAAGTTAAAAAATTAAAAAAAAATTCTAATAAACGCCCATCTTTAATAGAAGCTAATAGAACGTTTAAAAGCAGTCTTAAAAATAGCCGGCACCAAGCGACCTCGAACCCGAGCCTATTTACTAGTTAGAAAATTTGAAAAAAATTGAAAAAATAAATGCCATAGGGCTTAAAGTGATAGTTGAAATAAATAAAAAATAATATTGAAAAAAACCATTAATTGTTAAAAAATAAAAATAATTTTTTTAAAAAAAATATAAATTTAAACACGTAAGAAATTTTGAAAAAAAATTAAAATTTATTTGTTGTTTCAAAAATAAAAATTTATTTATTTAGGAAGTTTGTTCCCTTTCTACTAAAAACCCACAACAACAAAAACTAGCGCAACTTAATTAAAAATTTACGGAAATAAAACGAAAAAAAACGGGAAAAATAAAATATTAAAATAAAATTTGTGAGAAATTAAAAGAAAAAAATTATTTTTGCTTTTTCGGGAATTGAATGGAGGTTTTTATGTTTTGTGGGGGTTAATTTTACACAATACTTTTTTGTTGTTCATTTTGCGTTAAACAAAAAAAAGTTTTAATTTCCCATAAACACAGTTACGCCCCCTTTCTCCCTTTTAGTTTTTTTAAATTTATTTTTAAATTTTCTTAACAAAAAAAAATTTTAAAATTTTTGGAGAACGTAAAAATATTTTAAACAATTAAAATAATAATTTAAAAGCAGTTATAAAAATAATGGGCACCAATAGGTATCGAACCCAGGCCCTTGTAGTTGTAAAGTCTAACACACTAACCATAACGCAACCGACTAACTATACAAATTTTTATAAATTAGGCTTATCTAGGTAATTAGAAAAAAAATTTTTTATAAAAATTATGTCACACAAATGGTATCGAACCTGGGCCTTTCAAGCTAGTAAATCAAACACACTAACCATAACGCCATCGAAAAACTACTACATAATTTCTAAATTTAAGCTATTAGATAACTAGAAAATAGCAAAATTTAGTAAAATAAATGCCCCTCAACAGGTATCGAACCTAGTTGGTTCCAAAAACTTTTTCTGACTGGAACATTATTATTAAACAGTATATTTTATATTTATTTTTAGGTTCTACTTTAAGGCTATTTTTAAAAATGTAAAGATTAAAAAAGGTGATAAGCCAAAAAATAAAAAGTAATAAAACACAGCTGGATTTGCTTTTATTTTTAGTAAAGTTAATTTTTACACTATATTTACACTCAAAAAATCGCGCAAAAAATTATAAAAATCCCTTTTTTAGATTTTTCTTTTTATTTTTTAATATGCTTTTCCTTTTATTAATAAAATAAAATTTCCAGTTGTCCCAAAAAATAAAAGCAATTGAGGCATAAAAGAGAGAAGCTTCTTTTCACTCTCCCCTCCTTTTACGGACACCTTATTCGCCTCATTTTTAGTTTTCCTCAAAAATTAGTTGATAAAAAGAGGAGAGGAGAAGAGGAAAAAGGAGAGGAGGAAAATGAGTGAAAATTTGTGTGAAATAAAGTAGAAAATGAGTAAATAAATAAATTAAAAATTGAACAATCTAATAAATTAAATAAAAATAAAAATTAGCAAAAGATAAGACAAAAATGGAAAGACAGAAAGAACTCAAAAAAAAATTCAAGAAGGATCAAAATACTAACACAAAATAATTAATTATAAAATAGCCTCAAAATTTTTAAGCAAAAAAATTTTACTAATAAATTTGCACAAATTTTCCTAACTTAAAAAAATTTTTGCCGATAAGCAAAAATATCTAATTTAATGCATTTTAATAAAAAAACATTCCTAACTATAATTAAATTGAAAGTTTAAAAATTAATTTTTAAAAGAGTCCGAAAAAAATATTCTTTGAGGTTAAAAAAATTTTTCAAAAAATAAAAGTGAAAAAAAAATAAAATAAAAAAATAAAATACTTAAAAATGCCAATAAAATTAAATAAAAATATTTTTTACATTCCCCCCATCTAAAATTTTTCTAAAATATTTAATTTAATAAACAATAAAAAAATTAATTTAAAATTTATTTTTTATTGTTTGGGGTAATTCTGTTTGTGTGTATAATTAAATGGTAAAATTTGCGCGGTGTAAATTAATATTTTCTTTTCAATTTATTTAAAAATAGTGAGGTTTAAAAAATTAAAAAAATAAATTTTTAAATTGGTTTTCCGGAAGCATTAAAATAAAATTTAAAAATATTAGAAAAAATTTTTGTGGACCAGTTTTGCGGATTATTCCAATTAAAACTAATTTCAAATTAAATTCTTTGGAAAAAATTTTTCGCGGTTCGGAAAAAACAAAAAATGGAAAAAAAATAGGAGAAAAAATTTTTAGGTTAAAAAATTTTTTAAGTTAAAAAAATATTAAAAAAAATTCCCAACCTAAACATAACACAGCAACATTCCGTTCCAACTACCAAAACGTCTTTTCAAACCGCCCCTCAAAAATCACAAAAATCAACGCATTTTGGTTAAAGCATACAAAATAAAAAATTTGTTGTTAATAAAATATTAATTTAATTTAGCTTGAAAAATTTTTAAATTAAAAAAAAACATAAAAAAATAAATGAATTGAATTAAAACAATTCAAAAAATTTTTAATTCAAAAAATAATTTAAAAAATTTTATTTTAATTCAAAAAAAGAGAGATCAAAGACAACAATAAAATTTTCAAGGCAATCAAAAAAATGATTTTTCAAAAATTAAATAAAAGTCAATTTACTTCTAAAAAATGACTCCAGCAGGATCTTCAATTCCAACAACACAAAAAGGCACCAAACGATTCTCAACATCTGGATTTTCTCTGCACCAAACACCTCTTTCATTAGTATCTGGATCTAAAAAAATAAATTATAAAAAGAATTTGAAAAAAATTTTTTTGCGGACAGATATACCAAATTTTATGCGTTAAAAATTTTTTATTAGGTAAAACCTATAATAAATTGAATAAAAATTTTCAAAAAATTTTTCTGTCCGCAAAAATTCCAAATAAAATTAAAAAAAACTAACGAGTTTCTTCAAAAGCAATTGTAAACATAATAATTTTTTTATCAACATCTTCAACAAACCCAAATTCTTCATTAAACAGTAAATGCCGAGAAGTAAAATAATTCGAAGTTAAAGGAATATTGAACTTAAAAGAAGCAAAATAAAATTTTTAATTTGATAAAATTTTGCAGACAAAGTTTTGCGGACAATTATTTTCGGACAATTATTTCCTTGTTAATTTCCTCCTACAAATAGTTGAAAAATTAATTCAATTCGAATAAAGTCTAACGCAAATTGAACAAAAAATCTTTTTGATAATATTTTTTTCCGCAAAAGTAATAAAATTTTTTATAAAAATTTTTGTCCGCAAATCTCGTCCGCAAGTTTAAAAATAAATTTAAAAAAACCATAAAAACGTCCTCTTCTCCATCAATTTGTTTGAACAAATATTTTTGATGCTGAACCAATTTTATAACACTCGAGATTCGATAAATTTTAGATTTTTCATCAAATATTGCATTAAAACTAAACCAATCTCCAAGACTAATTTTTGATTTATTTGTTGTTTTGCTGTCGATAAACATTGGAAAATTGCAAACATGAGGGCAATAGACGGCTCCTTTACGGTTAATTCTAAGACCAACAGAGGTAAAGGCATGCTGGAAATTTTGAAAAAAAAATAGAAGAAATTCGAGTTCAAAATGTCAAGTCCCAAAAATAGTTAAAAATGGTAAAAATCAAAATATTTCAAAATGGTAAAAATAGTAAAATATTTCGAAATGGTAAGTCAGAAAATATTTCAAAAATCAGATAAAACACAAATTTTTCTTACATGTTTAGGACCTTCCAATTCACTAGGCAACGGCCTCGCCCACAGAGGTAATTGTTTTGTTGTTGTTTTGAATACTTCAAATAATCCAGTAATTTCCCAACGAAAAACTTTCTTGTCAGAATTAAATTTTAGCCAAACTCTGACTCCAACATTTTGTTCCTTTTCTTGTTGATACATTTTATTAGAATCTCCAAGCAAAACTCTTCCATGCAAAACATTTTTTGGGTCAACAATTAGAGGAATGCAGAAAGTGCAGTAAAAGTTGTTGAAGCGACAAAGTTTGACATAGCCCAAAAACTTTAAAAAATTAAATATTAAATAAAAAATCAACTTCAAGAAGGTCAACAAGCCATGAGTCAAATTCAAGGAGGTCAACACCCTATTGTGAGCCCACCTAAATATCTGAACGGGAAAAGAATATTTGGTCGGATTAAGATGTATTTGTTGGGCCTAAGGGGGGTTAAGGGATTGAAGACGAAAATATTTCATGCAACTGTCAGACAAGATAAGAGGGAGGAGACCACTGTATCCTCAATCTTGAGCCCCTTTTAACCGCCCAAATATGTACTTAACGAGTAAGTTGATATCTTGGATTGCCTCAAGTATGTTGGGGTTGGATCCTTATGGGTCGACCCATAAAAATAATAAAAAAAATTAAAAAAAACCTCTTTAACACCGCCATCTTTCCAATGTGTATACATTGGGTTCTCTGAACCAATCGTCATTGGAGTACACCAGGCTAATTCACGAAGACCGCCCTTTCCAAGAGGATGAGGATAATAACCGTAAACAATGTAAGCCATATTGTAGCGACAAAAGTAGAGCTGAAAAAAAAATAAAATATAACAAAATTTTAAAATAGGTTTAAAAAATTTTCGGAACATGTAAAAACTAGAAAAAATTGTTTGGCAGCCGGAAGGGTTCGAACCCACAACACCCACAAAATAAGTCCGGAACGAATCCACTGAGCCAAGTTACTCTTAACATAATCCCCAAATAAACCCAACTTAAACAAATCTAAAAAATCAAAATAAACCTCACAACCAAGCACACGACCATCAACATACATAAAATCGCCAGGAATAATCTAAATTTAAAAATTAAAAAAATTTTTTGATGAAAATAATAAACTTACAAATCCAATCAATCCTTTATGATTAGGTCGGTGTACAACAAACACTTCTTTATCATTAATTACAACACATTCCGAGCTTATTACCTTAAAAACACGATGATTATATTTTTTTAAATAATTTATAGACCCAGAATAGGAGGAAAATAAAACTCAGATAAAAAAACTGGTCCTTAAAAGATCTAACAGGCCTCTCAAATATTCCAAAAGAAAACAAATATCCAAAAATATTTTTAAAAATTCATTTTTAGATCCAAAATGGAAGGAAAAATAAGTCGAAAAAGAATAAAACGGTGTGGAAGGAGGAAATGCCCTCTATCAAATGATACCAAAAAATAAAAGATTACTCATAGATTGGGAGGGTCCCTCAAAAAATTATCTTCAAATCAAAATACAAACCTTGTTTTGATCAGACCACGGCAACGCACTCTTTGGATATAATGGGTGAACAGGCACAAATACACTGCGAGGTTCCCAAGGCTAAAATACAAAAAAATTTATAAAAAAATTAAATTAAAAAATAAACCGCTCCAGCAATAAAATCATCAGATTCCTCGTCAAATTTAACCCCAAAAATTGTCTTCAATTTTAACCTTTCAGCACAAATTTGTTTAAAATCTTCATTTTCTTCCATCTTTTTAATTGCAACAATGCAGAAATAACAAACATTTGGAAGAAAATCGGCCAATTTACCAGTAGTTGCTTTCAAATTTGGAAAAAGATGGCAATGAACACGTCTTACTTCCTCGTTAGAAATTACACAATAAGTTGATATATCGGTAGCGTTTGAATAAGGCTGTTTTTGTGAAGACATTATTTTGCTAAAGATAAGAAATTAAAATGTCCGCAAAATTTGTCCGCAAATATTTTCTTTTTATTAGTGACCTAAAAAATCTAATAAATAGTAAAAGTAAAACAAATATTAAAAATAAATAAACATAATTAAAATATTTTTTGCCAAAACAAAAAACAATAAATTAAATATTTACTTAAAAAATAACAAAAAATTGGAAAATAATTTACACCAACAATAATATTTACTAAATCAAAAATAAAATTTGGTCTTTGATCTTAAATAATCAAAACAGGATTTAGTCAGAAAAAAACGAAAATCAAAAACAATTTTTATTTTATAAATTCTTAAATTAAAAATATTTTTTATACAATTAAACCGCAACATTATTATTGTTCATAATTGAAATGTTTATCTCTCGTGTACCCGCTTCGATAACATTGAGAAATTGCCGGACTGCAGTAACGTCAACCTCGGTCATTTGAAAATTATTTTGAAGTGTGTTTATAGAAAGTTGCATTATTTGGTCCAAAATGAATAATTTTAAATGAACATTGGCCCTCAACTAAAAAAATAAGCAAATTTTAGAAAAATAAAAAAGCTAGTGCTTATTTTCAATTTTGCGATATTGTAATTTTAAGACTAAATAAGATACTCCCGGGTCAAGAGTTATAAAATAAAATTAAAAATATAATGATACCATTTGTATGCCAGCAAAAGGAAAATAAGATGGCGGCCAGTGGTAGGAGTCAATAAGAGCCAAATAATTGAAATTATATTTTAATATTGTTGTCGTTATAAATTTCAAGGCTTAAAAAATATGTTTGGATGGTACTTTTACGTTAGTAACGGCTAAGTCCGCAACTTTGTATCCGCATGTCATGTTTATTTTCTCAAAAGGATTATTTTGAAGACGAAAAATCAATCTTTAAAAGAATATCATCAAATGCATCAACTCCCGGTTTCTGCATCTTCTCTCCAAAGAAATTCTCAAAGATAATTGTCAATTATTTTCCAAAATAAGTGACGAAAATAAAAATTAGAGTGCAAAAAAGTCGACATCAGGGCAAAAATGCTGAATATTTTCTATTTTTCGTTTAAAAATTCCATTGGCATAACAAAAATGAAATAAACATTACGACCTGCGGATAAAAAGTTGCGGAGTTTGCCGACATACGGAAAAGTACCGTTTGGATTTAAAGAAAAAATCTGAACTTTTAGATACAGACCGATGGAAATTTGCCAAATTTTTCAGCATTTTTCGATATCTATATATTCCGATCGGTAACAGTACAAAATTCTGGGCTCTACTTTTAATTAATAATCATGCTTTTACTGGCCCCTGAAATTACCCATCTCTAAGAGCACTTTCGCCAAGCAAAAGCCCAAAACGGTTAGGGAAAGAGGAAAAAGTGGATGTCAAAAGTACCCTAAGTATTTTACAAACTTACAATGGAAAGAGTAGTTGGTTCTGTCATTAATGGTATTAAGAGTCTCGTAAGTCAGATTGCCCATACCAACAGAAACTGAGAACGCACTATATTGTTGTCTTATTTGTGTAAGGATGTTGATAATCTTAAAATTTTTATTAGAAATATTTGGATTTTTGAGAATAATTTAACCATTTAAAAGCCATTAAGGACAAAGGTCAAAACTTACTTTTTTCACACATTTGGAAAGAATAATAAAATGACGCTGATTTTTTAAAAGTAAATAATCGAAAATTAAAGAGACTCGAAAATCCTCCCACTTGATATCAAATGGAAGAAAATTAACAATCTCGTGTATTAATTCGACTGAAAGATTGGGGTTTTTAATGTCATAGGAATGCATTTTATATCCCACAAGATTAAGAAGATTCTATCGGATACAACATAAAGTATTAGAGAAAAAATGGTAAGAGTGACTAAAGTTATAAAATGGTCAGTCACTTAGATCGATTTATTCCTGTTAGTATATTATCAGGTTTTTTTTCTGAAAAAATGAATATAATTTTTACTTAAAGCTTGAAACGTTATCTATAAAATGGTTAAAGCGGATTCAAAAATGGAAATGATTTTTGAGATAAAAGATTCAGAATTGGAATTAAAGAGAGAGAATATAAAGAGTGGTTAGAGAACAGAAGAAAAGAGAAAATAAAAGCCAATTTGAAACAAGCATGTTTGGACGAGAACGTCTCGGTGTTAGTGAAAGAATTTTAAAGGTTATTTGCTTGTTGAAAAAAAAAACGATGGAAACTTAAATTTCACTATATAAGATTAAAAAATTTTTTGAAAGAAAAGATGAAAGATCGAAAAATAAGAGAAAATTTTTTTTCAAAATTTAAATTTGTATGGCTTTTGAATGGTCATAAATTAGTTAAAAAATTAATAAAAAAGAGATCGGACTTTTATAGTTGATAAAAATTAGGGGCCACCATAGAATAGGACAACCGAGATTGAAACTCGAAATGTATATCATTCAATTCCCCTTGTCGAGCTGAGTTCAGATATGTACGTTTACGTGTTTTTACCACAGAATTGAGCTTACCCCCCCTCCCCCCCCCCTTTATCAATTCTCATGGGCATATGTCTCTGCAAGTTTTCGTCTATGGAAAATATTCTTCCATGTTTGAACACAGCTCAACGTAAGAAATCCAATGATATAAATTTCGAGTTTCAATTTCGGTATGCAAAAACTCTACATACAGTATTCGTTCTCCTTTTTTCACTTTTTCACTCCCATCCTTTTTTCACTCCCATCCTTTTTTCACTCCCATCCTTTTTTCACTCCCATCCTTTTTTCACAAAATAACCATCAATCAATAATGCCCAATTTAAATAAACGTATTCGTTCAAATTCAATGGAAAGCTCTTCTTCTGACAATACAATTGTGCCAAACTTAAACTTATCACCAGAGCAGCTATCGCAGATAGCTGTGATGGTTGCAGAATTATTAAAGCCATCAATTGAAACAATTATTCAGACAACTGTCAGTGAAATTTTTAAGCAAAATTCCAATAATTTAAACAATATTAACACAATCAACAAAAATAATCAAAATCATAATCAAAATAGCCCACTCTGGGGTCAACCTCCATCATTTATTACAGACAACAATTTATTTTCGAAAATGGCGGCATATGCTGCAGAAAATCCTGACACAATCAACAAAAAATCGAAAATAGCCGTGGTTGAAAGGATGCCTTTTATAAGTGAGGAAGATGACAAGCGAATTGTTGACGAAATTGTAAGTAAATGTAATCTTGGTGATAAACTTGACAAAAATACCCCACCTTTTCGGCATAAAACTAAATATTCTCAAACAAATTCTTCTAGGCCTCAGCTCATAAAAATACCCTTTATAGATAATGTTTCTCGTAACTATTTTATTCAACAATTTCATAGCATTTCTCGTACCATTCCCACAATTCCTAACAATGTATTTGCTCGCCGTGACCTTAGTCCTCCTGAGCTACAATTTTTGTATCAATTACGTAGGCATGCCTACTCACTAAATAATTCGTGTGGTCTTTATAAATATGTTATATCTGATTTGCATATCAGAGAACTTAAAAATCCCCGTCCCCTAAAGAACAAAACTACACAATAGGGACTCGCGAACACCAGAGGTAAAAAAATAATTAAAAATGAACTTAGTGGAATATTGATTAATGCACGCTCAATGATTAATAAAATCAACGAATTGAAACTCATTCTAGATAAAAATAAAATAGGCATAGCTTGTATTACCGAGACCTGGCTCAATAAAAACAATACTATATATAAAGATTTCTGCTTCAATAATCAATTTCAACCCTTATTTGCTAATCGCGAAAAACGCAAGGGAGGAGGCTGCGCTATCTTATTAAGTAATGATTTAACATTTAGGTGTATTTTCCAAGGTAGCAAATTTCAATGTGAACTTATCTGTATTAAATTACTCACAGTCCAACCGATTTTAATTATTTGTATATATAGGCCACCTGATTGTACAGCTAAAAATACAAAAAAAATATTAAAATACATCTACAATTTATTGAGCAATACTAAGAGATATATTATTCTGGGAGATTTTAATAGCCCTAATGTTGATTGGAATAAGTTAACTGCTTCTGATATGATTGGAAAGGTCTTACTCGAATTTATTAACCAAACTAATACAATACAGAAAGTTAATAAGCCCACAAGAGAGAAAGCTATACTTGATTTAGTTTTATCATTCCCTGATAACTTAGTTAGCACCAACGTTATTGAGAATTTTTCTACATCAGATCATAATATGGTTAAGTTCAAAGTATGTATAAATGAAAGATGCAAGAGAATAAAACAAAGTAAAGTTTTAGTAAGAAATATTAATAAGAAAAATCTGAACGAATGTAGTAAAAACCTGTCTAGTATAAAATGGGATTATATATTACCCTACTACTTTAGTATTGAAGAAAAATATTCTAAATTAACAATATGCCTACTAAGAGTTTTTGATAAAGTTATGCCACTAAGACCTATTAACAAAATAATCAAAGAAAAGTATTCTAGAGATATTAAAGACCTTTATAATAGAAAACTTTTAACTTACAATGAATTAAAGAAAACCCCATCTAATATGGATATTAAATTGAAATATAAAATAATTTCAAAACAATTAAAAACAAAAATTCAATCACATCATCTTAAGAAAGAGCAAAATGCCATATCGAAAGGCTATAATTCAATTCATAAGTTTATCAAGAATAAAATAGGTGAAAATGGTTATATAACATTTCTTACAGATTCTAATGATAAAATATACAAAGATAACTTAGAAAAGTCCAATATACTAGCTAAGACATTCCTAACTAATTTTAGCCACAAGGATTTGCAAGATGAAGTTATAACTGAAAACAATGAACACTCAATACATGATCTAGACTTAGATGTAATTCAGATTAGAGACCTATTAAGGAAACTTCCTAACAAAAATTCTACATCCCCGGATGGAATTCCTTATATATTACTAAAGCACTCAGCTGACGAATTAGCCCCTGTACTAACTGAAATATTCAGAATAATATTAGATAGTGGAAATATTCCGAGAATATGGAGAACATCTATAATTATACCTATCCACAAAAAAGGTGACAAATCAGATCCTAATAACTATAGACCTATATCTCTAACATGCACACTTTGTAGAGTACTAGAGAGACTTATTAGTATCGAAATAATAAAATTTTTGAATAAAAAATCTTATTTCTCGGATGACCAATATGCATTTCTAACTAACAGATCAACTTCTACTCAATTATTAGTAATGTTAAATGATTTCTACAATGCTATTCAGGAAAATAAATCTATTGATATTGTCTATATTGACTTCGCTAGAGCATTTGATTCAGTACCTATTAACAGAATACTTTATAAATTGAAATCAATCGGTATAGCTGGGAAGATATATACATTTATTAAGAATTTCCTAGAAAACAGGACCTTTAGAGTTAAAATTGAGAATACCCTCTCTGATAGCTATCCAACCTTATCTGGTGTACCACAAGGAAGTGTCCTTGGACCACTACTTTTTCTAATATTTATTAATGATTTAACAAAATATTTACCTGAAGGTATACATATAAAAATTTATGCCGATGACGTGAAACTATATATTGATCATAACAATGATTTAAGAACCGAAGTTCTATCTGAAGCTCTATCATGTATTGAACACTGGTCTTCTCTTAATGGTTTAGATATTTCACTAGAAAAATGTGTTGTTCTCTACATAGGAAAAAATAATCATAAAAGAACATATAAGTTACTAGGAAAACAAATGAGTGAAGTAGATAGTGTTCGGGATCTTGGTATTATAATTGATTCTAGTTTATCATTTTCCAAGCATTATGAAAAAATTATCAAAAATGCTTATTTCCTCACACACCAGATATTTAGAGTAATTAAAACTAAAGATATAAATAAACTTGTATTTTGCTACAAAACATATGTAAGGCCCTGTCTAGAATACGCAACCGAAGTATGGAATCCATCTAAAGCGGAAACCTCCCACCAAATAGAGAGAGTCCAGAAATTCTTTACACGAATTGCCCTTAAAATTTGCTCAATTACACCTAGGAACTATGAAGAAAGATTAAAATTATGTAAGCTTAAGAAGCTAACTGAGCGACGCTGTATTTCAGACTTATGTATGACATATAAATTTATAACCGGACATACCCATCTAAAACCAGATAAATTTTTTATATTTGCGAAAAGAAATTTACGCAGGAAATATCTAATTCAAAATAAGGGCTACTCATTTAAGACAAAAAATAATTTCTTCATTAGAGTCATTAACATTTGGAATAAATTACCTAAAGAAGTCATTGAGTGTGCAAATCCCAAAAAATTTAGAGTATTAGCTAATTGTGTAGATTTTGGTCTTTAAGGGTTTTTAACATTATTTTTCATTAAATATAATCACATATATTTTTTTTAAATCACATATATTTTTTTTTCATCCACATTTATTTTTTTTCAAATATCATTTATTTTTTTTAAAGTTTTTATAACTTTCCAACGCATTTATTTGTATTGTTTTTTTTTATCCATTGTAAGTGTACATGCTTGTATGTACCTTTTGGTGTTCGTTATAAATAAATAAATTCGGCTCCCGAAAAATTTTTTTGATTATCTTAAAAACTGTTAGAAATTTAGATAAAATTTCAACCCGATCTCTGGCTAAAAATTGAAAGATAAACTTACTGATGGTGGTTGCTGGATATTTACTGGACCATTTCGATTTAAAAGTTGTTGTGCTGCCATGATGTGAAGTCAAAAAGAAATAAAAAAATTTGAAATTAAATTATTTTCTAAAAAAGATTAAATTAATAGTTAAACAAAAGAAAAGTAAATCCTTTCAATATTAAAATTTAAACTCGAAAAATAAGGGGCATTCCCCAGAAAGTTAAGAACCAAGTTTTTTTTCCAACCCCAAATAAATCAAAATATATTCATAGAAATTGTAAAAAAAGCATTATCCTCACCCAGCGCCCAATATCTAATAAAAATATTATAGTGTGATATGTCCGCAAAATTTGTCCGCAAATAATTTTGAATTCTCCCAATGCGGAATGTATACGAAAAATAACTTAAGGTGGAGCATCACCAAAAAGGAGGAAAAGGGGAAGGAGGCGATAGCCGTCCTATATGGTCACTGCAGCCTCCCACCAATAACTGAAGTCCCCGCATTTTAGAGAGAAAGAAATATGGAAAAATCTTATGGACTTCCCAGCCCAACATAAAATATAAAAAATGAGTTTAAAAAATTAAAAGATATGAAACAATTTTTAAAAATTGTTGGAAATTGCAAAAAAATCAAAATTCAAATAAATTTATTCAACAAAAACAAAAAAATTTCTTTGCAAAAATTGAAAACTCAAAAAATTTCAATAATTAAAACCTTTCTTTTCAGAAGAAAACCTGCCAAATTCAGGCTTTGGCAAATCAAAAACTTCAAAATTTTTGTAAGGAGGACCTCTTGGATCTGGAGCAACCAACTGGCAAGAACATTTAATGGCAAAATCTGGAAGTGGCACATGGACATCCTCCACTTCATCTTCTTCTTTAGGTGGCCCTCGAGGATCAGGGGCAACTTGTTTGCAATAGCCAACTAGAAAATTAAAAGAAATTTGATTTGAACAAGATGAGGGAATGTATCACCACTCAAGAAATGTTACTCAACTTATGGAAGGGAACCTCCAACCACTGGAACCACCAGGAAATAGAAAAGCAGAACCACTAAACCTTTAAGGAACCCAGTTCGGGCGGCAAAAAAGCCCATTCAAAAAATATAGGCCTCCCAAACTCCCTTTGATTAAAGGACCCGGAACCGCTATATGGAGGAATGACCGGAGTCGGAACAACAGAAATACTCAACTTTAAAGAATCAAGCTTATGGAGCCAAAAAAACTTATTTAAATGTACAAGAGCCTACCCAACCTAACATACAACCACAAGAGGCAAAAATGCCCGGCTTCCCCCCATCATCTATCAGCAGAAAACCTTACCCAGCTCCAATTCGAATCTCTCTCCCCCAGACCTAATTCTAAATCATAAAACAAATTCAAACCTTGCGTTACCGTCTTAATATCAAGACTTGAAATATGCTCCCGCAGCAATTTAAACTGGTGCTCAACATCTTTGTGGATCAAAGCACTCTCAGGAGAAGAGTTGATCGTAACTTTGAGTTGTTCAAAAGACAAAGAAGATGCCATTATATAAAACTAAATTTTCTGAAAAAAAAGTTTAACGGTGTTGAGGAACGAGAAGAGAAAAACGAAAGAATGATAGAAGGGACACGCCCAAAAGGGCGCGTGTCCGTCCATAATGGCGCAAAGCCATAACTTGCTTCAAGATTCCCACATCTAGTAATAAACGATCCTCTCATCGAATTAAAGAGATTGGTACAAAAATTGATAAGGGCCAAGAAATTTAGTAGCAAGTTTGAGGGCCAGAAATTTAGTTGCAAGTTATAGCTTTGCGCTGTTATAGTCGCGCGCCCTTTGGGGTATACCAGAAAGACATAAAAATAAATAAAAAAGAACGAAAATCATCCTCATTTAAGTATTAAACAACCGGGAAAAATTATTTTTTTAGATATTATGAAATTAGATATTTTAAAAATTTTTAAAAACAAATATATCAAAATGTAAACAACATTATTTAAATACAAAATGCATAAAATAAAAAATTTTCATTTAGCCACAAAGCATAAAAATTTACAAAATGTCACATGAAAGAAAGGTGTGTAAAATATAAAATTTATTTTTTGTTTTTAAAAATTCTTTGGCACTTTATTTTCGTTTTGCTTAAATTTTTACAAGCATTTTTTAATTAAAAAAATTATTCCAATTTTCACGTAATATAAACAAAAGTGTTCATATCCACCGGATCACGACCCAAAAATTTTTGTTCAATTAACCATTCAATTTGTTCTTTAATTAATTTACGAGAAGGCAAAAACATATTTTTGAGAACGTCAACAAGTTCTGTTTGTAATTGGGCCTTAAAAGAAGGAATGAAAATATTTTTAAAGGCCAATTAAAACCCCAAAAATTTTTTAAAAAATTCAAGAGGCCCTCATATTTTTTCCTAAAATTTTTCAACAAATTCCCGAGGCCCCCAAAAATTTTCTAAAAATTCCTGGGCCGCCAAAAATTTTCCAACAAAATCCCGAGGGCCCCCTAAAATTTTTTTAAAACCCTCCTGAGGCCCCCAAAATTTTCTAAAAAATTCCCTAGGCCCCTAAAAAATTTTTACAAAATCCCTGATGCCCAAAAATTTTTTTAAAAATTCCCAAGCCCCCTCCCAAAAATTTTCTTTTAAATAAAACCTGAGTAAAACGTTTTCTTGTTTTCATTATTTTTACAATAGCTTCTTGTACTCTAAATTTTCTCAATTGTAAAATTTCTTCATGTTCCTGTTCAACACCTTGTTCTTGATTTAATTGAAGACGGCCAATTAAATTTAATTTTCCTCGAGTTTGTGGTTTATCATTCTTTGGAAAAATTTTTTTTTAATTTATTAAAAATTTAAAAAAACCTTTATTAAACAAAATTGTTGATTAACCCAAAATTGTGTAGTTTTCCCAAAACTTTTTGGCAAGATAGGTTGTGAAGCATCACACAAAATTAATTGATGACGAGTTTTTGGGAAAGCGACTAGTGACTAAAAATTAAAAAAAAATTCTGTATAAAAATTTTTAAAAAATTTTGAATTATCAAAAAAATTTTTAAATCAAAAAGGAACAAAAAACAAGCCTAAAAGAAATAAGAAAAAACACAGGGAATCAAAAAGAGTCGAACCTCCGAACATCCCACCCCAAAGTCGCAAGCGTTAACCAGTCGGCCAACGAGACACACAAGAGGATATTCTATTTTTTACCTTAAAGCTTATTTTAGTTCTCTTAAATTTGACATTAATCAAGGGAGGCCATAAAGTTTTTTAAAAATTTCTAAAAAAACCAAAAAACAAACCAAAAGTGTTTTAATTAATTCAGTTTCAGACAATTCTGTAGCTAATCTTATACAATCAAATGTAAGCCTATCCATAGGTCTATCATTCCAACAGAAAAGGACAGCCATTTGTTGAGTAGTTACTTCCAACTCAAATTTTCCAATTTCGTTTGTAAAAAATAACTTTAAAAAAATTTATTTTCAACTAAAAATATTCAAATAAACCGTTCCAGTAGACCAATGATGTGCCCAATTTAATTTCCTTCCACAATGCTGTTTTTTATAAAATTCATCTACTTCAGGCAATAAATCTTCCAATTCTCGAGGTAATGTTAAATGAATAGTTTCTCTATTACGAGACCAGGCACCAGCATTGAGGATTTTTATGTTTACACAGTCTATAATTTTAACAAAAATTTTTTTAAAAATTTAAAATTCTACAACTTAACTTTCATTTTTTAAATGCACCCTTACAAAAATAGGGCGCTTAACTGGGAAGTAGCTTAAATTGGAGGTATTGCTTGGGTAGTCTTCCCTACCCAATGGCCAGCCAGATATAAAAAACATACCTTAAATTGAGGTGTATCTATTTTTAATTTAGAAATCTCATTTAGAAATACCCTTTCGGAGAATCATCACTAAAAATTAGATGTGCCTTAAATGGAAGTGCTTTGGGTATGAAAAATTTTTGGGGTACTTAAAATGAGGTTCTGCTGATCCTAAAAAGTAATCCCTCAGCTTAATACCCTCATTTCTCTTTCCAAAAATTTTTTCTAAAAATTTAAAAAATCAAACCTGCCATCTCCGAACAATTTTCATTAAGTGAAACAGACTGTTTAAATGCAGCATTCAAATCTTTATTAACTTCAATATCCTGCAACATTCGAAATAATTTATTTACAAAATCTACGGGCATTCCAACTTCCTTAAAAAATTTTTTTTTATTATTTTCAAAAAAATTAAAAAAGAAACCCTAAATTTATTAACAAGCATTTCCTCCTTTTCTTGATCCGCAACCAATTCTAAAATTAATCTTCTACTTAAATGGGTTTTATGATAACGCATAAAAACGTCTTTTGCTTGGACATATTTGAGGACTAGCAACTGAAAAATATAAAAAAATTTGAAATTTTTTTAAAGAAATTTCCGAGAAATTTCAAAAAATTCTCAAAAAATTTTCAAGAAAATTTCGAAAAATTTTTTTAAAAATTTTAAAAGTTTCAAAAAGTATCTCCAAAAATTGACAAAAAAAATTTTCGGAAAGATTTTTCGAAAAAATTTTCTTCAAAAAAAATTTTTTCCCTTCATTAAAACAAACCACATTATTAAGCCTTTCATCAATTTCATCACAAGTATAACGCTTTGTTAAAGCTGATTTTCTTAGTAATAAATCGCAATAATTTGCTAATAATTCTGGGCATTTTGACTCGGTATTTTGGGGTTTTCCACTTCTTAAAAATTTAAAAATTAGTCAAAAATTTCAAAAAAAACCTTTTTCCACCTCCATTCCCTCCCAATTCGAGTCGAAAAACATCAGTATTATTTACAACTTCTCTAAATGCTTGGTCTCGAATGGTGAGGAAACGGGCATCATTGGCAAATGCATCCCGCATTAATGTTGAGAATCGAGTGTATTGCTCTAATAATTGATGGACATATCTTAAATTGATAAAATTTTTTAAATTTTCGAATAAAGCAAATTTCGAATAAGGCAAAATTTTTGGACTATAAACTTGTGGGATGAGAACAATGACACCTATGGATAGACAGAAAAAATGAAAAAAATTCTAGAAGTCACAAGAAAAAATCTATTTTTAACCGATACCCTATGGACACCTACACAAAAATTTCCACAAAACCAACACCAGGGATGTCACGAGTTTGAAAAAAGAAACAAGCCGGGTCTCGGGTCGAAAAAAGTTCGGGGCTTGGGTAACCCGAGACATCCCAGTCACACACCTATTTAAATTTCCAAACCTTTCACTATCTGTGCATATTTCAGCTGCATGTGCTTTCATTGCTGCTAATCCCTCTTCACAAATATGTGAACGTAAAGCATCCAGTAATGTCCCCAAGAACACACCAGGGATGTCACGGGTTTGAAAAAAAGAACCAGGCCGGGTCTCGTGTCAAAAAAAGTTAAAGGTTAGGGTAACACAAGACATCCCAGCCCCACATCTATTTTAAATTTGCAAACCTTTCACTATCTGTGCATATTTCAGCTGCATGTGCTTTCATCGCAGCTAATCCTTCTTCACAAATATGTGAACGTAAAGCATCTAGTAATGTTGGAATTCCATCCAAAGTTCGATTTATTAGACGATAAAGAATTTGTAAACGATCAATTTGTCCACTTTTAATGAGTCCTGGAGCTTCTGCTAATATTTGGTCTTGATAATTGATAATTAATACTTGAACACATTTTTCCATCAACTTAACTAATTTAATTTGGGAAAAAGATTAATAAATATAAAAGTCAACCCTCAATAGATGATACCCCGAGTTTTTAAGGTCTCTTAAAATTTGGTTGACCAACAAGTAGGGGAGTTGTTTAAGCAGTACAGCCAACTTTAAGGCACCCAACAGAGAAGTTACGGGGTATCCGAAATCGGGACATTTTTGATCCGAAATATGGACCAAGAAATTTTCGAAAACCTGGCCCGACTTTTTCCCCTTCTAATCTCCAAAACTGACCCGACCCAAAACCCGTACTTTCTACGGCCCAAAAACCGATCCGAAGAAAATTTTCGAAGACTTGACCAAAAACCCGCCGCTCGACTTTTCCTTCAACCCGCTCGACTCCTAGCAACCACTCATCATAAAATCGTCTTATCACCCCGCAGATAAGGTTCCCTAAAGTAAAGTTCAACTTTAATTTAAAAATCCAAACCTTTCCCTTTGATTTTCCATCGGTTTCCCCATCCAAGTATTTTTTGGCCCTTTCTTCTTCTTCAACCAATTTTTCATCAACATAGGCCATATAAGCCAAAACTCCATTTTCTGTCAATATTTGCGAAGTCCGCGAAGAATAGAATTGTTCAGTAAACGTAATGTATTGCTCTTCAAATTGTTCAGCATAATTGAGGTTTCCAACAATGCTTAAATCAACTTTAAAAATTAAAAATAAATTAAAAAAATAAAATTTATATACCAAAAGATTCTTGAACACCAATTATATGTTGGGAATTGACTAGTTCTCCATTACGTTCACGATCGATTAAACTTAAAATTTAATTAGGAAGGTAAAATATTTGAAATTTATGTTAGGAAAGCCTGTAGTAAGGGTTATCCAAAACTCGAAGTATGGCTTTTTTCGACTCGAAACGAGGCCGGAGAAAATTTTTAAAACCCTCACCGATAACCATGGTTAATAGTCATCAGAAAAAAATTTTTCCCAGCAAGGTTCTTAAACCAAAAAATTTTTTGAGGTAAAAACTAGACGATAATCCCAGTAAAACCCTCCAAATCTGTCAAAAAAATTTCCCATTAATCATCACCCATCCCCTCCTTAAGTAAAGAACAAAGTCCCAAGAAATGACCCTATAAACCAAAAAAACTTTTGAAACCTCATTGCTGCATTCAACAACCGGGTTGAAATTTTAGAAAACACATATTTATTCCATCGGTCAAGCATCACCTAAAAAATTAAAAAAATTTTCTAATTTTTAAAAATTCCAAAAAAACCTCTCTAACTTGCATTCCTTGTTTATTCCTCCCACTTTTTGATTCCTTCTCTCTTTTTTCAACAAAACAGAATGGAAGCGGCAAGTAGCGACATAAAATTGAATAGCCTTCCCATTCTTGAATATAAGCTTTGAGCAGCGAATCGACATCAGAATGGGGGAGAATTTTCTAAAAAAATTATTTTTCGAATTTTTTAATTAAAAAATAAATACATTAGCAGCTTCGCCAACATGTTTGGTCAATTCCTCTTTTAATACTGAAAGTAATTTTTCATTGCCAGAGTCAACCCAAGAAGTGATTCTGTTGTTTGTGCTGAACAAATCCTGCCATTCAAATTTGGAAACGTTCTAAAAGAAATTTTTTGAAGGCGGTTAAGCTGGGATAAAAAGGTTTTAGGGATCATATTTGATTATTAATAAAAAATTTAAAAGGCAGTTTGACTCAAACCAAGCAACCTTTCGAATTGTGCTACACCCCGTTATACCGCCGAGCTATAACAACGTTCGAAATGGTCGAATCCAGGAGGCCCTGGTATGGTCGATGCGCCTTAACGAGCTGAATCAAAACATAAAGGCGTCCCGGATTCGACAATTTTTTACGAAGTTATAGCCCGGTACACTGGGCTCGCGGTATACTGGCCTGTCGCTCGATTTATTTTGAAAAATTTCTGGTTTTTCCCTATCGATAGGAAACTGAAAAATTATAGGGCTCCGAAGTTTGCCAAAATTGGCGGAGATACCCCAAACAAAAAAAATGCAAACAGAACACCACTAAAAACTAAAACAAAAAAATCCCCAAAAATTCCAAATCAAAAAACCTGTCTGCAAAGCAAATTTCTAACCACAGGCAGAGATTTTGCCCATTCTTCTTCGAAAATAACATTATTGTTATTCTACAAAAATTTTTAATTTAATTTTAGTTAAAAATAAAAAAAATATACACTGCCAAGCAAGAGCAAGCTTTCCATTTTGTGTTGAGCCATTTTCTTTAAAACAATTTTGATTGAAACTAAAAATTCTAAAATTTAAAAGTAAAATACTAAATGAGTTTGAAATACATAAAAAATATAGTAAAAACATATTTAGAATACTTTTGCCGAAACAAAAAACTGGAAAAATATTTATTTAAAAAGCAAAACAAGATTGAAAACAAATTTTCATAAACAACATAATTAATCAAAAATAATTAAACAAAAAACAATTTTTTCATAAATTTAACAAAAAACATTCAATTACTAATTATTCTGATTACCCTCTATTATACTTGTAATAGCATTTGTATTCGAAACGAGCATACCAATAAGTCCATTAATATACCCAATATCATTTTGAACCATCGGAAAGTTGGCTTGACCCATATTGACACCGAGCTCGCAAAGATTCTCCAAAATCTTCATTTTATCGGACACATTTTGAACCATCTAAAAAATAGAAAATATTAAACAGATAAGTTCAGAATCATTAATTATTTTTCAATTTTCGAAAAAAAACTTTTAATTTTTAAACATAAAGATCTTCACGGGTCAAAAATCAATAAAAATAGTTAAAGATAAAACGAACGTTTTCTCTATTTGCATTAGGAAAATACGAAGTTGGCCAAGCAAAACTGTCAAATCGGAATAAAAATGGAAGATTGTATTTGACAAGTACTACGCCAATTAGCTTGCAATCTTAAAAATAAATTAGAATTGTAAATAAAAATTTAAACAAAATTCTACAAAACACGTTCGATTTAATGAAATTTGAAAATTAAGCAAATATTTGAAAATATATTTTTTGTGTAAAAAATTTTAATATTTTACTACGCAGGACTAAATAAGTTATGTTTAACCGGCCAAAACCGAAAGAGGGAAATTATAAATTTATAGCAACAAAACCGAAAAAACTGGGGACCTAAGTTTCAAACTAAAAACATACAATAAAACAAATGATTTGCTTTTTCATTAAGTAAATTCAAATTGTCCAAGCTAACATCCCCAAGAGTTCGTGAAAATTGCTCAAATTGAGTTCTTTTCAACGTCAATCCATTCAAAATCTTAAAATTTTTATTAGATTTATCCGACTTTTTTGAGAAAATTTTAAGTATACCATTCAAAAGCCATTAAGGACAAAGGTTAAAACTTACTTTTTTCACACGTTTGGAAAAAATAATAAAATGACGCTGATTTTTTAAAAGTAAATTATTGAAAATTAAAGAGACTCGAAAATCCTTCCACTTGAAATCAAATGGAAGAAAATTAACAATCTCGTGTATTAATTCGACTGAAAGATTGGGGTTTTTAATTTTATAGGAAAGCATTTTATATCCCACAAGATTGAGGATATTATCAGATACAATTACAAAGTATTAGAGAAAAGGGTCAGAGTGAGTGAAGTTATAAAATGGTCAGTTACTTAGAAAAGGTAATCTCTCAGCGAATATGACAAAAGGTCGATTAAGGGAATAGAGTAAAGAAAAAGATAATAGAGTATACAAGGCAAGAGAGAGAGATTTATTAAAAAATGTATTTAACGAAACACCAAAAAGACAAAAGGTAACTTCTCGATAAATATGACAGAAAGTCGATTAAGGGAGTAGTGAAAGACGAAGGGGAAAAGTGTTCCTAAAATTAAAAAAAAATAATTTATCTCTGTGTAAAAACAACAGAGCTTCAAAAAAACTAAAAAATTGATTCAATTTATTCAATAAAATTTTTAAATATTGAAAAAACACCCCCTTTTTTGGAAGCTAGAGTCAAAAATGCCATCAGTGATAAACGGGATATTTTGTCGTATATTTAGTTTCTAGTTATCTTAGAATTTACAACCAACAAGATCTTGGATAGTCTATTGGATAGACAGCCTTCTTTTTTGAGGGGAGAATGTTTAGCCACAAAATTTTGTCGTTGGTTAAGTGGCTTAAACTCTAGTTTCCAGAGAAGGGTTTTTTAGTGGGCAGTGAATTCTGACACAAAAAAAAAACAAAAAATTCTAAAAAAATTTTCTTTTTAAAATAATCAAATTTCTATCTTCCTCTACTAGTTTTCCTCATAATAACACCAAACAGACAAATCAAACATTGTCCACAAATTAAAGTTGTTAAAGCTAACGTCCATAAAGGCTCGTGAAATTCTTTTGAAAATAAAATATTTAATAAAATAAATTTTTTATCCAATAATGTATTTGTTGTTGTTGAGGATGTAGTGGTTGTTGATTGATACAAAAGAGAAGAAAATGAAACATCAGCTAAAAAAAGAAAAAAATTCTTTAATAAATCAGATTCTGATTGAGTCCAAAAAAGTCCGCAAATAATATCCGCAAGTAAAAAAATCCCCAGAAAAGTCAATAAAATATGTCCGCAAATCAAATTCCAAAAATATAAAACCCAGCCCCCCTCCTCATTAAAAATTTATTAAAAAATTTTTTTTCCAAACCTAAATTCTTCAAAATAAATCCAATTGATAAAATAATAGCAATAGGCATATAATGTTGTAAAGCAGCAGTACAAGCATATGAGGCATAATTGGCTACCTTTAAATTAAAAAGAAAATTTTTTGAATCTAAAAGGAAAGTCCGCAAAAAATTCTGAAAAAATGTCCGCAAGAAAAATCCGCAAAAATTTTGCAGAAAATTTCCGTCCGCAAGAAAAATCCGCAAAAACGTCCATTTTTTCCTGGCATTTTTTAAAAATCTCAAAAAAACCTTTCTCTGTTTTTCCTCTTCTTTTAAATTTTTGAAAGAATATTCAATCAAAACTTTTTTGGGTTTATCCAAAAAAGTTTGTAGACAAATTCGTGAAGAATAAATTCTTGCAAATAAGGTTATAAACAAAGCCAAAAGTCGAAGAGATTTTAATTGTTCATGAGTGATACTGAAAAAATGAAACGTTTCTTTATGATTTAGAAAAAAACAAAAGAAACAACAAAACAGCATAAGGTGAAGCAAGGGATGTTTCATTTCTTCCCTCCCCGTCTAAATAGAAAACTTGAAGAGGTTCTTCCTAACAATAAGAATGAGAATAAAGGAAGTTCTCCCTCTTTTTAGAACGAAAACGCGAATGAATAAAAGCCCCCCTAACAATAAGAAGAACTCCTCCTCCATCATTGGGAGTAACTCAATTTTTCACCAAGGAAATTGAAACCGGAAAGAATTGTTCCTGTCGGAAAGTCCCCCCCTACCACACCCTCTCCAAAGCTAGTTTCGAATTAAGCTTATTATAGAAAAAATTAAAATAATATTTATACCCTTACAATTGAATTTCCAAAATTTGTTCAACAATTGGACGCAAGAATAGAAGCAAAACTCCAACTGGTGCCAAAAAAGAAAAATGAAGCATACACCTAAAATAAATTTTAATAAATAAAAAATTAAAAAATTCAAAAAAACCTCACAAAAATATTCTTAAATCCTCTCTCCTCATCCTCATCTTCAAAAAAATCAAAATATAGAGACGTATATTGCAACAAAGGAAAGAAAAAAGCGCTCAAAATTATTGAAAAAATTAACGCCAAACAGACTAGAAATAATAAGGGAGAGCGTGAACTTGAAGAAAATAAAGGTTGAAATCCATGTTCTTGTATAAAATCATTTAAAGAGTTGATAAAGTTGAGATAACCTTAAAGAAAAAATTTTTGTGAATTAAATGACATTTGGTCCCATAATTAAAAAATAGAAGGGGTCGGGTTTTTGTCAAATTTTTGGACTATACGGGACGGGATCCCTTTACTTGTCGAGCAGAAATGAGTCAAGGTCGTAGGATTTCGACCCCAATATTTTTCATTCATAGAACCAAATGTCACCTAATTCCCAAAATTTCCATACCCCACTAATTCTCAAAATAAACCTTTAGAAATTTCAATATCCAAAAATTGATCAGCAAAAGCATTGAAAAGCAAAGATCCCAAAAAGAATAAACCAGTTGCACAAATAAGTGTATTTCTTTCAGGGAATAATTCAGCCAGCGAAACTTTTTCAAAAGCAATATTTAATAAAATGTGTATTTGCAATATTAGAGCACAAAAAGTCCAAATCATTGAAGCATTTAAATCTTTAGGAAAAAAATTTTAATAAAAAATTTAGAGACAAAATGTCATCCGTGGGATCAAATGTCATTGAGAGAGCAAAATGTATGTAACCAAGGGGACACGCCCAAGTAGGCGCGCGGCCAGGTAGACGCAAAGCCATAACTCCCTGGAACATTTCTGGACCTTAACAATTTTGGTACCAATCTCTTTAGCTCGATGAGAGGAATCGTTTAATGTTAAATTTTGAAAGATTCGAAAATCTTGAAGCAAGTTATGGCTTTGCGCCTACTTGACCGCGCGCCTACTTGGGCTGTACCCGTAACCAAGGGAAGGGCAAAACTTAACCACGGAATCTCTATGGGACGAAATGTCACTCAAGGGATGATCCTTTGGACAAATGTCAGACATGATACAAAATGTCAACAAGAGGCAAGTTTACCCAAGGGGACGCTAATGAAACCAAGGGGCACAGAAAATGAATTTCTGGGACAAAATGTCTCGACCCTGACATCACCCTTCTAAAATTCCCAAAATTTCAACAAACCTTTATTCTCTGGAAAGACCAAATTATACAAATCGCTCAAAACAAAAACAAACAAAGCAAAATAGCTGTAATTAAAAGTCCAAATAAGTGAATCAAAAAATGGAACACCTTCTAAAGCATTCAAATTTAATGGGAGACGAATGAGACGATCTTTTTGTTCTTCACCCATTTTTTCCACTTGAGATTTATTATTGGCAGTCTTCTGACTAGAAAATAAAATTTGGAAAAATGTTAAATTATTTAAAAATCCACAAAAGTCACCAACAAAATTTTAGAAAATTACTAATTGTCTAACACGCCTAAACCCTCTTAAGGAGTTAGGCGTGTTTTTGTTCCCGCAAAAAAAATTTGCAGCTAAAAATTGCGGACGCACAAGCCCAAAGCCGTCAAGACCCTTAACCGTCAAGAACGACTAACCCCCCCCCCCCACCCCTCCCAATATTAAAAATTTTTTTATAACCTTGTACTTGTTCCACGTCTTTTACCATTTCCTCCTTGATTATTCCCCTTCTGATGCTGTACTTGCTTGTGTTTGACCAATCTCGGAAACAACGAACCCTCAAGTAGATAATAGTACAAACTAAAATATTTTCTTATAAAAATTTCTTAAAAAATTTTTCAAAAAATTCACAAACCCTTTAAACACAAAAATATCACATAAAGATAAACGTCCTTGAATTTTGCCAAATACACTAGCGGATAAAAGTGTAAAGATCACGTGAAAACCAAAAATAGCCATTTTCTATAGGTAAATTTTCCTTTAAAAATTTTTTCTTTCCTTTAAAAATTTTCAAAAAATTAAAAAAAAATTATATTAAAAAATCAAATGGTATTATGCGACATTTGCGGACAAATATTTTCCAATTTCTAATCCGCAAAAAGTTGTCCGCAAATATTAGTCCGCAAGCATTGTCCGCAAATGTCGTCAAACCAATAAACTTTAAAAATTATTCTTTCACATAATTTTTATTGTCATCTTGTAGGGATAGTATGAGACTACAACAAAAAAATAAAATTAAAAAAGAGAGCATTAATATGTCCAAAAATCTCCAAAAAAATTAAAGTTCAACTATACTCTCCTTTAAAAAACAATTTCAATCAAATAATTTAAATAAAAAATTATGGGTAAACGAGAAAGGCGATTAGCGTATATATTTAACTTTAAAAATTCAAATATTTCTTGTTCACAAAAAATTACCCCCTTAAACCGCTCTCCAAAAAATTTTCGAAAAAAATTTTTTAACCGCCCTTACTGTTGTCTCAAAAAAATATCTTTTTTTTAATTAAAAACGAACCTTCAAAATAAATTAATTCTTTTTAAAAAAAACCTCTCCCTCATCCAAAAATCATTGTCATCTTCAATTTAATTTTTTCTCTTCTACCTTCCTAAAAACAGCTACATTTTTCACCAATCCATTTACGCAAAGGATCCAAAGAAAATTCATTATTTTCTTTCTCCTGTTCAATAGCACTACATTCAACAAAGAGTGGACGTTCCTTCTTAATTAATAAAATATAAATTAAACAAAACATTAAAAATACTCAAAAGATGTTTTTTTGGGTTTTTTTGCAGGTTAAAAAATTCAATTCCCCACACGGGTTCGAACCCATGACCCCAAAAATTTTTCAGTTTCAAGACAGCAGATTCCATGTGATCCCAAATTTTCATAAGCAAATGAGAGCTCATTTAAAAACCCTCATCGAAATGAATCGAACAATACCAAAATCAGTTTGATTAGATGATTTTGGACCAAGTTATGAGCATCTGAACAAATCCACATAAGTGAGAGGAGGGGGAGGGGGTCGCGGGTTCGAACCCTAGTGGGGGCAAATGAATTTTTTCCTGTTCATTTCACATTTTTTTATTATTATTCAAGAAAAAACCTTATTCTTGCCATCATTCAAATTTTCCCATTTAAATTCCTGTCCATTATTTGTCAAAATTTTTTGTTGTTCAGCCAACGACAAATCTCCAGAACCTTCAGTAAGCGAAAGAGCAGCTTCACGAGAAATATTAATTAAACCAAATTCTTGTTCAATTAATTTCTCAATTAACTTTAAAAAATTTATTTTTTAATTTAAAAAAATTTGAAAAAAAAATTTTTGACAAAAGACAAGAGGGGTAGAAACGACAAAACGCCAAGAGGTAAAAATGCCATTTTTTCTAAAAATCGAGTAATTTTTTAATTTCTTGGAAGCTTTGAAATTTAAAACACCCGGTAGGGTAATAAAAAATATTTTTCATCGAATAAAATTCATTTTCAAAAATTAAAAAAATAATTTCCACGAGCGGGTTCGAACCTTGAACCCTTACGAATCATCAATAAAAGAGCTCCATAATTTTCTAATTTTTTAAGTATTAAAAATTTAAAAATATAAACCTGTCCAGCCTTAGCATGAGCCAAATCTTGTTTGTTACAAACCACCAAAACCGGAATCTTTGTATTTTTAGTTTCATAGAGAACATCATAAAGATACTCAGCAACGTCCTTAAATTGAATAGAAAAATTTTAAACAAATTTAAAAAACCTTTTTCGAAAAAGTAGCGCTATCAACCACAAAAATAACACAACAAACAGAATTAATTTGCTAATTAATTAATTTTAAAAATTAATTTTTAAAGAAAACCTCATTAAACCATTTATTAAATAAAGCCTTTCGGAAGGTTTCAGCACCTGGATAATCTACCAAAATGAAAGGTTTGTCCAATCCTTCTTTACAGAGATAGTCAGAATAAATGTTTTCTTGAACAGAAGAAACTGTAGACCATTCATTTTCTGTTAAAAATTAAAATTAAAAAAATTAAAAAATAATTAATTTTCCCGGGGCGGGTTCGAACCATGGACCTCCGAGTATAATTGATTCAGAGTCCGTGGACCTCCATAAATTTAAAAAATCAGAATATATAAAAATTGTCTTAAAGAACCCGATTGAGTACTAAAAAACCATCAAAAATTAGTAAATTAAAAAAAATAAAAATTTTTCCCCGAGCGGGTTCGAACCTTGGACCTCCTTAAATCATCAATTCGAAGTGCATGAGGCAATAAATGTAAAAAATCAAGTGTAGAAATTATTTTAAAAACCCCGGTCGAGTAATAAAAATAGTTTCTGACCAAAAATTTAGTAAATTAAAAAATAATTTCCCCGAGCGGGTTCGAACTATGGACCCCCTAACAAGCAACTATGAAATCTTTTTTTAGCCCACAAGTCAGAAACACATCTTAGTCATTATTAAAGATAAAATTTAAAAATAAACAAAAATACTTTGATTAACAAGCTTTCCAAAAATTGTAGACTTTCCAGATCCCGACGGTCCAATAATCAAAATTGTATTAGCCTTTGCCTTGCTACGTTTATAGAAGAAAAATACCAGAGAAGTAATAACCAAAATAATTAGAGTAACAAATGCAGGAATAAATATTTGGTTATCTTTAATTGAAGCAATTAAAGTTGAAGAATAAAATTGGTGTTGTTGTTGCTTTGGTTGTTGCTTTGTCATCTTTTATAAAGTCTTTAACCTTATTAAATGTCAACAAAAATTAAAAGGTTTATCAGATTATGCCCCATCCGTCCGCAAATGTTTTTTGCGGACGTCCGCAACCGGAGATGTGGAAATCTACGTGTCTGGCATTTTATTCATCTGACCTTGGACATTTTTTAATCTTTATAAGAGGGGAAAATAAAGAGGGAGAGGCAATATACACTTTTGCGGACAAACATTTGCGGACGTGTGGGGGCACATTTCATTACATGACCTAAAATAAAAAAAATTAAAAAATAAAATTATAGAACGGATGTAAACCGAAAAAATATCAAAATTAAAAATAAACAAAAATATTTATTATTAAAAATACCAATAAACCTCAAAAACTTTAAAAAAGAATTTTTATTCTAATCCAAAACGTTCTTTAACCCTCAGAGGCAAAGATTCTCTTCCTTTAATATGCTCCTTCTCCACATACAAAACTTCTTTTCCAACTAGAAAAATTTTTAAAAATTTTAAAAAATTTTCTTTTAATTAAAAAAGTCCGCAAGTTTTGTCCGCAAGTCAATTTTATCAGAAATAATAGAAATTTACGAGGATCTCTAGCAACTTTTTATACAAGATGCATGTTTTCTTAAACACAAGAATGTACTACAATTCATTTCCATCAAAATAAAATTCAAACAATAATTTCCCTGGGCAGACTAGAACCATAAACATCGAAACTGATAAACGAAACCTCCGAAAATCAAAATGTTTTCTAAAACATTTTTCAAAATATTTCCAAAAAATAAATTTGCGGATAAAACCTACGGACTTTTTAACCCCTCTACAAAAAGGTAAAAAGTCAAAAAAATTTTTCAAAAATTAACCTGCAGGATCAAAAAATATTCCTTTAGATTCAGGTGATTCTCGCATCCTAACCCAAACTTTGGCGGTATTTGAAATAACACTAACTAGGCGTACAACTAAATATCTAAAAATTAAAAAAAAATTTTTCTAACTTGTAAAAAATATAAAATTTACTTTGTTTTCTTTGCCATTTTTGAATGTTCCCTTTTTTTTAAAAATTTTTGAATATTCTAAATTATTATTGAAAAAAAAGAAATTTTTAAAAATTTAAAAATATTGTAACTATTTACAAAAATAAATTTTCAAAAAAATTTTTCAAGAAAATTTAAAAAAAAATTTTACTCAAAAAATAACAAAAATACCTCTGGTTTAATTTAAGAGTCCAATGAACCTTAATCAGCTCAATGGTGGCTCTAGTCTTATCTTGAGTCCCAAGGGCGTATCCAGAGGGTTGGTTTCGGGGAGGGGGCCTGGATACGTCCTTGACGAGTCCTATGAACCTCTATGAGATCAAAAAATTTACAAAAGATAAAAAGGTTTGAAAGACTCATAAAAACTAAACTAGAGTCCAAAAAATAAATTTAATAAAAAAAACAACTTCACTCTTCCATTAATTTCACTCATCTATTTTTCTTCTTTTTCATTAAAACAGCTTTTTGGCGCTTTCTTGCTGGTTCCAAATCTTCATCTTCATTATTTACTCCCAACATTAATTTATGTTTTTTAGATCCTCCTCCTTTACTTCCTTCCAACATTTCTTTGTAACGCTTAAAAAATGAGGTAAAAAGTTAAGAAATTCTCAATAATTTTTTGTCCAATTCAAGGTCCATGGTTCGAACTCGACCAGGAAAAATTATTTTTTATTTATGCATTTATGGTCAAAAAATATTTTTAAATCCACAACCAGGTGTTCTAAAGATCTTTCATATGTTCTTATTTTTTTGTAAACTTATGGAGGTCGCTCTTATTGATTCAGGAGGTCTCCATGGTTCGAACCCGCTCATGGAAAACTATTTTATTTTTTCAAACTTAATTCAAAAATGAATAACGAAACTCTAAACCCTCATTTCCCCAAATTTAACTCCGGAACTCTAACTAATTAAAAAATAAATTTACATTCGCAGCCATCCTCCCAGCTTCAGACACTCTTTCCACCAATTTCATCACTTCTTCATGATTAATTTCCAACGGGTCAAGCCTCTTTCCAATAGAATTTTCAACTTTTTGATAAATTTCAACATCGTATTGGGTGACTATTGTGATTGAAATCCCTGACTGAAAAATTAAAAATTTTTTTTAATTTCGAAGTTGACACTTTAACATTTTCGAAAAATGTTGACATTTCGACACAAAAAATTTTTATTAAGTAAAAAAAGCAACAAACCTTCCCAGCCCTAGCAGTCCTTCCCACACGATGAACATAATCTTTAGAATGTGTTGGGACGTCATAATTTAAAACCATATCAACATGAGGAATATCAAGACCTCGAGAAGCAACATCAGTACAAACCAAAATTGGCCTATCCTTCTTTTTGAATTTGTTTAAAGCTCCTAAACGTTTTGGCTGAAAAATTTCAAAAAAATTTTCAGAAAATTTTCAAGAAAAAAAAACCTGTGACATTTGTCCATGTAAAGCTATTGCTCCAAAACTTAATTGTCTTAACATTAGAGCTATTTTTACTGAACTTGCACAAGTTGAACAAAAAACTATTGCTGTATTGCCTGCTTTTTCGTTCAAAACGTGGACTAGATAAGCTTCCTAAAATTTGAAATTTTTTTCAGTGAAACTTGATAACCTTTTAGTGGTTCAAACCAATTCCCCCTAGTTCAAACCAATTACGGGAAAAATTATAGCCTGTGCTTTTATAGGCCAAAGAAGTACCCAAAAAAGCCCACAGAACAACACAATAAAATTAAAAACAAAACTCGAACCTTATACTTGAAGGGAATAAAGAGCATATTTTGAATCAATGTACTGACTGTTTGATATTTAGTAGACAATTCAACTCGAACAGGCTTCTTTAAATGGGCCCTTTCTAATTTTGAAACCTTTAAAATAAATTTTTTTAGAAAATTTCACAAAATAACCTTGTGTGTCATCGTTGCCGAAAATAAAAATGTATGCCTTGCATTTGGAATAACTTTAAGAATTTTATCCAATTCCAATTCAAAGTCCATATTAAGTATTCTATCCGCTTCGTCCAAGACCAAATATTTGACTGACCGAAGATCAAAACCTTTAGTGTTTTCGAGATGATCAACAAGACGACCGGGGGTTGCTAAAAAAAGGTTAAATAGAAAATAAGCTTTTGAACCTTAATGACCCCTCTTTCATTTCTTCCTTATTTTCCAAGATTTATCCATGGCCTTCATGAATCGGATTTCAGGAGGAGATAAGACAAAGGTGCTCCCTCCCTCAAGCCCCATGGGCAACCAGATCGATAAAACAGAGACCCCTTGCTCTAGAGGCGCACTTACAAATTAGAGGTCAGAGTTCAAGACTACAGCCCCTTTGGCTGTAGTGTTAGTAGGGAATGAGGAAAAAGATGAAAACGGGCTCATAAAGTTCAAAATTGCCCGTTCAACAAACTAACCAACGATAACATGAGGCCTTTTAGAAAGAGACAATGTTTGTGTTGACATATCAATACCACCAACAATTGTAGCTTTAAAAAGTTTATGAATTTCTCTACAAATTTACTCAAAAACATACAAACTTGGAGGCCAATAGTTGCACCTAAAGCCACAAATTGATCCGAAATTTGAAATGCAAGTTCTCTCGTCGGAGCCAATACAACGGCAAAGAGACGTTGTGGATTGGACATTAAGGATTGAAGTATTGGAAGAGCAAATGCTGCAGTTTTGCCAGAACTAGAAAAAATGGATAGTTGACAAACGGGGTCCATGTGTTCATTAATTGGATTCATGCTAGGTAAGAGAGTTCCCCGATGAGAAAGGAAAGGCAGACCCTTAACAACCACACCCCCGGCCCCCACTCGAAAAATCCTGGTTACTGGCCTGCAGACAGGTAAACGTGAAATATTTTAGTCTTGATGTATAAAGAGGCCACTTTGAGCTTCCCAACGATTTCCTAGACTTGTAAGAATCACTCCAAAAAATCACCCCAAAATCTAAAAAAACCTCGCACCCAGTTTCTGCCAATCCAATTACATCTCTTCCCTTTAAGGCAATCGGAATAACCTTTTGTTGTATAGGCATAGGTTTTTTCCAACCAATACGTTCACAAGCACTGCACAATTCTTCATTTATTCCCTAAAGATTTAAAAACGAAAAATTCCTCTAAATCAAAAATAAACCAATTCTTTAAAAGTCCCAATTTCGTCATTATTGTCGTTGTTTTCAACAGTTTCTTCTTGCAGTTCTTCCATTTAATAACAAGAAAATTCACTTTTAACGTTAATCTAAAAAATTTTTAAAAGATAAACATGTATAGAACACCGAAAAAAGTAAAAAATCTCGAACATAAAAATAAAATGACCGAAATTTTGTGTAGATATTTCGAAATATTTTCATTAAAAATGTCAAAATGTAAAAAAGAATAAATAATTTCAAAGTGGTAAATTTATGAAACACCAACTTTTTAAACGCCAAAAAATCAGCGAACTTTATAATTTTTAAAAATTAAAAAAAAATAAAAAAATTTACAATAAAAAACAAACAAAAAAATTTTGGAAATTAGGAGATCAAAATAAACTACAAAAAGCACAAAATTTTAAAATTCAATTTTTCTGGTTTCGAATTGTTAAGGAACAAAAAAATTTTTTTAATAACCAGAAAAAGAAATTTTTTAAAGGGAAGAAAAGTGAAAAGGCGCAAACGGATTTTGACTGAAAAATGGATGGCTTTTTAAAAATATAAAAATAAAAATTTGTATATGTATCTACAGTCAGACCTCACCTTTCCCTTTAAAGTTATAAGGCTTTTCTAAATTTGAGGAGGCAGTCAGCAGGCCTGTAACCAGGATTTTTTATGGGGGAGGGGAGGGGGGAATCCTGAAGGTTACTTGTACACCCTTTCTCCTCCTGTTTCGGCATTTTGACAGCTTTTGGGAGGAGTAGGTATTTTTGCGGACTAAATTTGCGGACTTTTCTATATAAACATAAATGAAGAGAACCTTAATACCTAATTTTTTGGCATTACGACGCGCTACGTTTACCACTAAAGTAAGGTCAGACCGTAAAAAATTTTTTTCTATAAAAATAATAAAATAAAAATTAAAAAAATAAACTGTAGTGCCATAAACTTTGTTCTCCTCAATGAATTGTTATAATACAAATCTCTTGCAAGAAAATCTATAGCACCATCACCGCTTTTACCAACAGCAATATTACGACGTTTTTTGCTTTAAAAAATTAAATAAAAAAAAATTTTCCCAGAAAAAAATTTTTTCGAAAAAATTTTCAGAAAAAATTTCAAAATTAAAAAAAAATTCAAAAATTTCCAAAAAAAAAAATTAAAAATATTTTTCAAAAATTTTCTCAGAAAAAAATTTTCAAAAATATTTTCAGAAAAAATGTAAAAAAATCAAAAAAAATTTAAAAATTTCCAAAAAAAATTTTCAAAAATTGCGAAAAATTTTTTCAAAATTAATTTAAAAAAATTTTTCACAAACTTAGAATTAACAGGTGTATCCAACTGTACAAACGTTCTTTGACTTATCCATCTTTTATCGTCTTCATCATTTGAAAATTTTGTTGTCTCGTTAAATTCGTCATTTAGAAAACACCGTTCTGTCCAGACCTTTTTTAAAAATTAATTTCTTTCAAGTTCTTAAAAATCCGCAAAATTTGTCCGCAAGTTTTATCCTCATAAAAATGCGGACAAAACTTGCGGATTTTTTGGGAAAAAATTTTTTCGAAAATTTTCAAGAAAAATTCTCTGAAAAATTTTTCCAAAAATCCAAAAAAATTTTTAAATAAAATAAAAGAAAAAACCTCCATTTCAACTCTCCACCCTTTGTCCAACAATTTGAAACCGTAACAATTTGAAAGAGGCAATTGTGCTGTTGAACTTTTTGCATAAAATTCAGCCAAACCAATTTTATTTAAATTTTTATTCTCTAAAGAAACACGTCCATCATAACCAATAAATGCCTTGAAATTGAAAAATTTTGAAAAGAATTTTACGGACAAAATTTGCGGACTTTAGAAAAAAAAGGAAGAGAACTCTCCTAATTATAATCTACATTTTTGGTCCCGGTTTAACAGAGGTGTGCAAAACAAAACATTAATAAGGATACTTGCCCTTCCCATTGTCAACAAAATTAGAAAGCCCTTTATTAAAAAATCCGCAAATTTTGTCCGCAAAATTTTTTTCAATAAATGTTCCTTTCCCTTGCGCTTAAATGTTCCTTTCCCTTGCTTAAAAACAATTTTTTGTAACAAACATTAAACGTCCAACAAACAAAAAATAAACAAACCTGAATAGAATTAGGTACCCGTGGAGAACTTAAAAATTCTGGTTCTTGATCAAACAAATAAATAACCTGTAAAAATTAATCAAATTTTACTTAATACAAATTAAGTTTTCCTAAAAGTCCGCAAGTTTAGTCTGCAAAAATTTAAAAAAAATTTGAAAAAATTTTTTTGCGGACAAAACTTGCGGACAAGTTTAATCCGCAAAATTAAAAAAAAATTTTTTTAAATTATTTTTGCGGACAAAACTTGCGGACTTTTAAGAAAACATTTAAAAAATTAAAAAAAATTAAACCATTCCACTTTTCCTTTGCGGCAAAATTGTTTTTTGCTTTGTCTGCCTTTTTGTAACGAACATTAAACGTCCTTCCACCAATTGTTTTTTAAATTTTGGAGAAGCATTTTCTTCCTTTTCCTCCTCAAATTTTCCAAAATCATACAAAAGCAGAGCATTTGGCCAACCCAAAAAGGCAACTCCTTTAGGGCTTAAAACTGCAGTTGAGGAAAGAAAGGGAGAGGAGGAACGTCCAGCAGCTGGATTTGAAGAAGGAAATTGAAGACTGAGCCAATGGGAAGAGGACGAGAAACCCTTGAAGGGAAAAAATTTTTTGATTCAAAATGGAAAAAATAAAAAAATGTCAGAATGTCAAAAAAAAATTTTCAAAATGTCGACTCAACAAAAAAATTTCAAAATATCGAAAAAAAAATTTCAAAATGTCAACTCTGAAAAAAATTTTAAAATGTCAACTCTGAAAAAATTTTCAAAACGCCAAAAACAAAAAATATTTCAAAATGTCAAAATGCCAAAAAAATTTCAAAATGTCAACAGGCAAAAATATTTTTCAAAAAATCAAAAAAAAATCCCAACCTTATTACTCTGTTGCCGTCTAAATTCCTCATCATTGTCATCACCTCCCGATTTTGAAAGAGCCACAAACCTTCTTATACGATTTCTCCAACTTTCATCCAAATCAAATAAAAGCCGCCTCTTTTTAACATTTTTTTCTTCAATTCCAATCCTTGCAAGTCTACGTAAAGGTGAATCCGAATCAACAACATCGCTTACATCTCCTCGCAACACTAAATAAATTGGAGGAGAATCAATGCCTAAAAGCCACTCCAAAACCTTTAAGAAAGAAAAATTTTCTAATTAGAAATTGCGGACGAAACTTGCGGACAAAAACTTGCGGACATCCAAAACTATGTAGCTATTCAGGGATGAGTTGGGTTTACCCGATATCTTAAAACAGAAACCTTGACTTGTTTTGATCCGAAAACTGACCCAGGAAATTTTCGAAAACCAGACATGAAACTCGACCCTAAATCTTCTCATCACCGACCCATCACTAATTTTATATTTATAACATAACTCAAAAGAGTCTTGATGTGCAATAAATTTGGATCCTGGGTACTCTGGTTCGAACAAGTGACTGTCTGTTAAACCTTCGAAGATTTCAATAAGTTCAAGTTTTGTCCGAAAACTTTGTCCGCAAATTGACAAAAAACCCAAAAATTCCCAAAAAATTAAAAACCTCAGCAGAATGTACAGCATCATTCAGCCTCATATTTAACAGAATAGGTTCCCTCCTTTCCATAGCTCTAAGTAACTGTAAAAGTCTAAAAGCTTGTTGCCAATCCAATTTATTAAAGGCCGTCCAATCTCCCCCTCCTTTTTCAAAAGAACTTGTTGTCCATCCTAATGAAAGAATTGATTCAGGCAATAATTGATGCGCAGATTCAAGAAATGGGACAATATCTACTGGTTTCTAAAAAATTTTTTAGAGGGAGAAAAAATTAAATTAAAAAAGCACCATTGAAGACTGAAGGGTTTTTGCGGACATTTTTTGCGGATACGTTTTTGCGGACATTTTTTTGCGGATTTTTAATAGAGCATTTAATAAGCGTCATTTGTGGACATTTATAAGACGACTTTTATTTTAAAAAATCAACAAAAGTCTGAAAAGAATGCCCACAAAAAATTCCCCAAAAAAATCTGCAAAATTGTGTCCGCAAAGAGAAAGTCCGCAAAAAAAATTTCTCAAAAAAAATCTGCAAAATTATGTCCGCAAAAAAAAAGTTAGCAAAAAATTCTTGAAAAAGTGTCCGCAAAAACTTTCTCAAAATTTTTTTAAACCCGTCAGTCTTCAGCTAGTGCCTTTAAAAAATTTAATACCTCTGAACCCATTCCTGCGCCTTGAAAAGTATTCTACAAAATAAATTTTTTAAATTAAATTTAATATTTTAAAATAAACCGCATGGACAATTATTGGGGCATTAAAACGATTAGGACCTCGAGTTGCTGCATATAAGTGTTGAAGAACTGGTCTAACTACTTCTGTTGTTCTTACTGATATTTTTAAAGCTGAAAAAAAAGTTTTTTAGAAAAATTTTGAAATTTTTGGTAAAATTTAAAAATCCGCAAGACATGACCGCAAAAATTTTTAAAATTAAAAAACTGCCGAAAAAGTCGAAAAAAATTTTTAAATTAAAAGTCCGCAAAAAATGTCCGCAAAAATTAAAAATAATTTTTTTTTTCTAATTTTTAAAAATTTTTAACCCTCTTCTTTCCAAAATTTTTAATCCAAAAAAAAAAAATAATTATTTTCTACCTAAATAAGCTTAAATTATTTTTTATTGTAATTTCTTCTTTTTTTGGATTAACTGGATTGGAATAATGAGATGATGAGAAGGGTAATTTTTTTATTTATTGTTGATATAGAATTTTCCCTTACAAAATAATTATATAAAACTTGGGGAGAAAGAGATTTGCTTGGATAGAAATAAAAAAGATTTCTTTTATTTCAAATTACTGGTCATTTGCTCATTTTTGTACGCCAAAAAATATAAGAGAGACAATAAAAGTAATTATTTACTAAGGGAAAGGGTAATGGCGGAAAGAAAATTTTTGTTACTAAAAAATAATAAAAGTGAAGGAGTAAAAATTTTGTTTAAAAAATAATTGAATTAAAAATTTTACCCAAAAAATTCTTTAAAAATTGAGGAAAAAAGTGGTTCCCAATATATCCCATATTCTGGCTAAAAATCCACGTTTTGGTAATAAGCTATATATTAGCAAAACAATCTGATTTTATATTTATTGGCAAAAAATAATATGGACACGGAAATGGAGGGAAGGTAAAATAATAATGAGGGGGGAGAGGATACGCAAAAATCCTTCCAAAAATTCCCCCACAACAACCAGTAATTTAATTCTAAAAATTTAACAGAAACAGGGAAAGGACGCCAAAAAATAAAAAAAAAAGATTTTTAAAACGAAAAATTATAAACGAAAAATTATAAAAAATTTTAAACGACGAGAGGAGGGAGAAATTTACTCCTAAAATTACCCAGAAACTTACCCCCAAAAAAATTTTTTTAAATTAAATTCAAAAAAAAATTAAAAAAAAACCTTTATCTCCATTATGATACACTCTCCTCAACCAATCTTTAAAAGTTAAAGCATCTGAAAACCTCGAAGTTGTTGATATAATTTTTTCTTGTGAATTTGCAAAATTTTGTTGTTTTTGTGAACTCATTACAGGGATTGCTCGATGTCTACTCTTTTTTGTTCGAAATAATAAAACTTCTCCTTCAGAGAGAGCACGGCGATCGAGCAGAAAAAGTCCTTTAAATAATTTTTAAAATAAAAATTTTAAAATTTTTGGGCTGAAAATTTTTGGAAAATTTTTGGAAAAAATTTAAAAAAAATCGTAGGATGGCAGTAAAAAATCAATAAATTTTCCCAAGCCTCAAAAAATTTTTTTCATTAAATTTTTTGGAATTTTTTGGATTAAAATTAAAAAAAAAATTTTTTTTATAAATCCCAAGTCTTCATAAATTAAAAATTTTTTTGACCGAAAATTTCTAAAATAATCCAATGCCTACAGGAATTTAAGAAAAAACATAAGCAAAAATAAACAAACCTCCCTCCGATTGAACATGTCCAGGAAGCCATTCAGCAAAATTAGTTTCATCATGTAATTGTTGCTGTTCTCTCCTTTCCCGTTTCTCGTCATAATTTAAAGAATATGCAGAAGAAGAACTACCTTAAATTTAAAAAATTAAAAAAATTATTTTTTAAAATTACAGAAGAATCTCACTTGTATGAAACTCTCATTTAAACCTCAAATTTATCATACCCAAAAATATGACCCTAACAATGACCCTCATTTATATAAGACACTCCCTCAATAAACGTTAGACTGTTCCCCAAAAAGTGAGATTCATTAATAAAAAAAATTTTTTTTTCTAACGACCTGAGACTTGCAGAAAAAATATTAAAAAATTAAATAAAAATGGGGAAACAAATTTAATTGTCATAGTATTTAAATAAAAATTTATTTTTATTTTTACTGTTGTTGTTGTTGTTAAATTTTAAAATGCTAATAAAAAGCATTCCTTTTTTAAATTCAAAAAAAAAATTAAAAAAATTTTAAAACAGAAAAAAAAACAATGCATTTTAAAAATTAAATTAAAGGAGAGAAAGAAAAGCTTCTTCAAATTTCGAGTAAATAAAAAAGGTTGTGTAATAAATAGTAGAGGGGATAAAATTTTAAGAGGAAATTCGAATAAAAATTGATTGGAGACATAAAAAAAATTTTAAAAAAATTTAAAGAAAATTAAAATATTTTTCTTAATTTTTTAAAAATTATTCTTTCTCAAAAATTATTCTTTAAAAATTATTTCGCGCATAAAAGTAAAAGCAATTTGCATACAAAATTATTTTCGACAAGGAAAAGAAGGTGGTTGGAGGAGGGCGGGGAAGGAAAGAAAAAGGAAGAAAGAAAAAATATTATTTAGATGAAGCTTACAAAATAAATAATGAGAAGCAGCTGGAGAGTTAAGAGAAAATTGAGGTGTAATCAAAAATTGAAAGAAAAATTTTTTTAATATTTCCAAAAATTAAAAAAATTCTTTTGAAAAATAGCCTCTAAACCCAGACCACATTTACCCCAAAATTCCTAAAAAATTCCACAAGAATCGAATGCCCTGAATTTTGGCATCATTCGACGCAACTTGAAAAGCTCCATCGAATGATGCCAAAATCGAAGAAATTTGAGTTTAAAAAATTTTTTTCTGAGGCTCGGAGTAAGCGTTGTTGATGGTTCACCTTGTCTATCGCAATTAAAATAAAAAAAATTTTTTTCAAAAAATGGTCACCTTTTTTCTAAAATATTTTCGGAATTTATTGTTCTCTCTCTTTTTAAAAATATAAAACCCAAGAAAAATAAAAAGAAAAATTTTTTTAAATAAAAGGTTTCCAAGGAGTTGGTCAACCAACACATGCTTGGTTGAATAGAAAAGGTTTTAAATTTAACAAAAAAAAGGTATATTAAAAAGTGGTTTGTGGACACAATATTTTAAGGTTTATTGTGAAATAGAGCTACAAATATTTTAATAGAAAAATAAAATTGAAAAAATTTCAAAAAATTTTTTGAATGGAAAAATACATTTAAAAATAGTAACAAAAAATTTCTAAAAAATTTGAATAAAATTCTAAGGTATTGTAAACAGCTAAATAGAAAGAAAAATAAAATTTTTTAATTTAAAATAAATTTTAAAAATTCTAGAAATTTTTTAAAATGAAATAAAAATACCTAAAAAATTAAAGAAGCACAAAAAACAAAAAAAATATTATTAAATTCAATATAAAATTTTTTCAAATTTTATTTTGTGGGAAAATGCCATAGGCAATTTAACAACAAAATAACTTCAAACCAAGTGAAGCTTAAAATTAAAAAAATATTTTTATTAAAAAAATAATAAAATATTTTGCTTTCTTATAATTTTTTGAATTTTATAAACAACAAAAGACACTGATTGAAACAAAGCAAAAAACGTAAAACTGTGCGAAATAAAATTTAAAAAAAAGGAAAAAAAATTTTTTTGGGTGATCAGAGACACATAAATAAATTAAAAGTAATAAATTAACTTAAAACAGCGGGAAATTGCTGTTCGGACAGAACAAAAAAATTTTTAAAGTTTGGATTGAGGTTAATTTGAATTCTTCAAAAATTAATTTTTAGGCAGGTTAGACAGAGAAAAGAAATTTTTGAAAAAAAAATAATAGAGGGGTTAAAAAAGTTTAAAAAAATTTTTGGAAGTGTAGAAAAATCCTAGAAAAATTTTTACGAATTTTTAAAATTTTTTAGAAGGTTAGGAAGAGTAAAGAAAAATATTTAAAATTTTCTAGAGGGTTGGGAAGGGTATAAAAAATCTAGAAAATATTCTAAAAAATTAAAAAAAAATTTTTTTTTAAGTCAGAAAGCGTTTAGAAAATTTCAAAAAATTTACTGAGGTCAGGAGTCTAGAAAAAAATTTAAAAAATTTTTAGAAAAATTAGAGGATAAAGAAAAAATTTTTTAATTAAAATTCAGTTATCTTTATATTTCAAAAAATTTTTGAATTTATTTTTCAATATTGGTTTGACTTAAAAAATAAATTTTTGGGTTTAATTTAATTGTATTTTTCCACCCAAAATAAAAAATAAAATAAAAATATGGCTCTAATGAGTATGAAAAATCGTCTCTAAACAATTAACTGTTTTTTCACTGATTTAAATTGACAGGAAGGTAATAGAAAAATAAAAACGACAAAAAAAGACGAAAAACTGCCCTAAAACTAAAAATATAAATTGCGCATTCTTGGACGATGAAGAAGAAAAAAAAAACAAAAAAGTGTTGAATTTATATAAAAATATGGTTCAAAATAAAATTAATTGGGGCTAATTTTTATTCAGTTTTTAGAAAAAATTAATCAAAATTAAATTTTTAAAAATTCCAAAAATTAAATTTCAGTTAAAAAATAACCCAAAAATATTTTTAAAATTCTAAAAAAAATCTAGAATGTCAAAAATATTTTAAAAATCCACAAAAAAAATTTTTTTAATATCAAAAAATATTTTTAAAAATATTTTCAATTTTTAAAAATTATTTTAGAATAAAAAATCATCAACAACACAACAAATTAACAAAATGCGCAACAATCGCTAGAGGGGAAGAAGAGATTTTTGGGAGAATTAATTGTCACAGTCAATTATTTATACCATTTTCTTTTAATTTTAACCTTACTTCTCCTATAAAAAAATTTCAAAATTAAAAAAAATTTGCGCATCAGTTAAAATCTTCCATTCCCCCTTTAACTTGTTGCGGTGCTATCAATCGACTCAGTGAAACGGAAGTTGAAAAAAATAAAATTAAAAATTAAAAGAAAAAATACCGGAAATCATGCTTAAAGGTTAAAAATTAAATAATTATCGCAAAATACAAAATTTCGGAAAATACAAAAATGGAAAAGACAATTAATACAACTGTAAAATACATTCCGGAAAAAACACTGTTGGAAATATATATGTTATAAATATGTTATAAAAAAAAATATATATATGTTATATAAATATATAATATAAATATATAAATATATATGTTATAATAAATATATATGTTCTGGGAAAATACAAAAAAACCCACAAAACAATTAAAAGTAGTACAAACAAAAATTAGGTAAAATTAAGGGAAAACAATTAATAAAAAAAATTTTCTTTTGAAAAAAAAAATACCGCCGTGCATGGAAAACAAAAAAAATGTTGTAAAAATAAAGCAATAAATCTTTTCTTTATTTTTTTTTATTTTTTAAACATTTATTTGTAGGTGGGTTACCGAAAAAAATTTTTTTGACATGAAAATTAATTTTATTTTTTATTTTTTATAATTTTATTATGAATAAATACCTGTGAAAAAAATAAAAATAAATTAAAAAAAGATTTTTTAATATATAATTAAATTGGTATTTAGGTGATGGACGGAAAAGGACAGGTTTAAAAGCATCAAAAGAAGAAAATGAGAAAAAAAAGTGATTGAAGAAAATTAAAAATGAATGAGAATAAAATTAAAGAAAAAAATATCCGCAGAGACCGTTTACAGCAAGTTTAGAGGGGTGATTTTTGTATTTTAATTGGAAAAATAGGAAGAAATTAAATAAGTTTAAAAATACATATTTAAATAAGAACTATTCCGGAAAATACAAACAATAAAGTTAGAAAATACAAAATAAAACGGAAAATACAAATAATTCCGGAAAATAAAAAAAAACACAAATAATTCCGGAAAAATAAAAATTGAACGTAAAAATATAATCCGGAAAACATGAGAAATACAAATACAATTCCTGAAAATACAACTAGAGAATTAAATGGAAAAATACAATCCGGAAAAAATACAATATAATCCGGTAAACAAAAATACAAGTAAAATAATTCCGGAAAATACAAATACAATCCGGAAAATGTATTAGTAAAATAAAACAAAAAATATAATCCGGAAAATACAAGATTATAAAATTTCTGGAAATAAAATACACACAAAAATACATAAAAAAAATACTAAAGGAAAATACGAATTTAAAGAAAACACAAAATACAAAAATCAGAATATTCAATCTTTAATTTTTCCCCCTTTAAAATAATCGTAAAATTGATTGGCAGTCGATCAAGCAAAATATATTTATTTATTTTAATGTGTTTTTAGGGGGGTGTAATTTTCTACGAGAGCAACGGCGCGAAACAATATTAAAAATGCTTGGATATATATTACGCGCAGCAGAAGTTTATATTTATTGGGGGGGGGGGGGGAAGGGGGGGAATGATTGGAAAGAATTTTTAACCTTGACTAATAAAACTTGTGGTAGGTGTAAGTGACAGTTAGGCGCCTAGAACAGAAAAAAATTTTCCCTTTTTTGAAAAATTTTTTAGAAAAAATTTTTAGAAAATTAGGAAAAAAATCTTCTTAAAAATTAAAGAAATTCAAAAAAAATTTCTAATTTCCAAGGAAATTTTGGCAAATGTCAGTAGATGTCTCCTACCTGTGCAATTTTCTTGAAAATTTTTTCTAAATAATTTTTAAAATTTTCTTTCGAAATATTTTTCGAAATAAAAAAATTTTTCCCGAAATTTATTAAGGCGGAAATAATTAAAAAATCAGAGAAAAAGCTTTTTCTTTGCGCGCTAATTACCAAATGGAACCTTTTATGGAAGAACCTCTCTCCTTTTTTGGCCTCATCAAGAACGGATTTGAAGAGAAAAAATGGAAGAAAACAAAAGATTGGATTATCCTAAAAATGGGACAGAGTTTAAGTGGATATATGGGAAAAAGAGAAAATTTTTTTTGAAGAGGAGAGAAAATGAGGGAGAAATGGGGAAGAAGGGGATGAGGGGAAGAGAAGAAAAATTAAAATTAAAGTTGAGAAAAATATTGAGAATAGAAAAAATACCCTCAAAAAGATCCCACGTCCTCTATGAGGTTTACTGGGCTCGGGATTCAACCACCAGCCCAGTAAAATTTTGAATAAAAATTTATGAAGTTAGAAAAGGAGTCGAGCTGAATCTGAGCTAAGGGCTAAACAGTTTTTAAACCTAGAGCCTAAACTCGGGTAATTTTTGAATTTTCTGAACTTGTGGATACTTGGATGCTCCGAATCATCCAATACCAGACCCTTGGTTTCTTAGATCCCAGGCCCTTAGATCTTTATTTCAAAAATTTTCTTAGAATTATGTTTCGGCTTCTATTTCGGGTTTGGGATCAGGTTTCGAGCAATCCTAAACATCCCTAAATCCGTTACAGCCCTGACGTATTCACAATTAACAAAATTGTAATATTTTACTTTATTTATTTTTCAGGCCAAACCCTTTTGGCAAACAAAACAAATTTTTGCAGATTTTTGAGAGCTTGAATATAAGCTTTTTAGAGAGATAATGAGAAGAGTATAATACAAAAACAAAAATACTTTTGAGTGTTTCTAATGGTAGGGGGGAGTGGTTGGAGGGAGTGGAAGGGGGAACGAGAACAAAAGAAGGATGTTAGGAGGAAGGAAATGGACAATAAATACATAAATAAATATTTGAGTAAAAAAAGGGGTTCAAAAAAATTTTTAAACGAAAAAAGGTTTATAAAATAGGCGTGGGTGGCAGAAAAAAAAATAAAAAAATGAACTAAAAATAAATAGAAAAAATAGTTGGAATGCACGTAAAAAATAAAAATTAAATTAAAAAATACTAGAAGGCAGTTAAAATATTTCAAAAAAAAATTTTTTTATGAAAAAATACTCGAACCTCACTTTTAAATTTGTAATGGTCACCCAACTGTAGGTCAACCAAATTTAAAAAAATAAACAATCAGTAAAATTCTCGGTACTTTTCGGTTCAGCCACACCCCTCCCATATATTCGCAGGTTATATTATATATTTATTCTTCATAGGTACAGAATAGTCAGGCTTTGTGGAATGGTCAGGGATGTGGCAGAACCGAAAAGTACCAGATTCTCTTATGAGGTTATCTTAAATTAGGAGAGGGGTCACTCAGTTTCCCCTACTAATGGTCAGCCAAATTAGAAAAAGATCTTAACCGAGTATTAATACAGGGAGTATTTCAAATAGAGGTTCTTTATAACAAAAAAGCTTCCCAACCTGACCGTTTAAAAAATAATTTTCCTTGTCCAATTAATCCATCCAACATATTTCCAATAAACAAAAGCCATGTAGGATGTAGAGTAGTTTGTACAAATAATGTTTGGTCACCTGCAGAGCTTTGCCAAAATATATAATACAAGAAAATACAAGAAAAATAAAATTGGCTTGGCCATTTTAGGAGAAATCTAAAAAAAGGGAAAAATAAAAAAAAATTAAAGGAAATAAAGAAGTATAGCTTATAAAAATACAACAGAAACTCCTTCAAAAAAAATATTGAAAAGAAAGCGAAAACCTAAGCAGAAAAACTAAAAAATTTCAGAAAATTAGAAAAGACAAAATTTAAAAAATTTCTAACTTTAAAAATAATTATTTTTTGGCGTTATGTTTATTATTTTTTAATAAATGACATTTTATCCCAAAAGTGAGAGATAATGTAAAAATGAGAGAATTAGACAGAAAAAAAAGGACTATGTGACATATTTTGCCAAATTTACAATTTACCTATAAGGGTAAACTTCCACATTTTGCTAACAAGCATATTGGCAAGACGAGGACTTCTAGCTTTATTGGCAAAATATGATATTGGCAGAATATGGAGAGGCCATTTTAGAGAAATTTTCCCCATTCTTTTAAGGTTACGTAGATTTTCTACGTTAGCTTATTCAACGTCTGGGATTTTTTTTGTTTATTTTAAATTGTAGAAAATTTTATTTTTTCCAGACAAAATGACTTTTAAATTAAATTTAATTCTTCTTTTATTAATTTTATTTTTATTTTCAAATGCAACAATTGAAAAGAGGAGGGAAGACAACGAACAAGACGAGGATATTGAAGAAGTTAAAAATGACCCAAATCCGGATAACGTTGTACTTTTGAATTCTGAAGGGGAATTGGGGAAAAGGGAAGAATTGGAAGGTTAGTTTATTTTTTTTGGGGAGTTGATTTTTTTCTTCTATTAAAAAAATAATTTTGGGATATTTTGTCATCCTTTTGATCTTTTGGGCTGGATTTCAGGCCAAGTTTCGTCCCATCCAAATTTTTTATATTAGACCTATTTTTTGTTTCTATCCTCCCTCCTTCCCCCTTTTTTCTTGCTTTTCCTTTTACGTTGCCCAATCAATTTAAAAAAATTTAAAATTTGTTTTAAAAGTAGGATAGTGGGGAGGGAGCTGGGTGGGTGTTTTTTAGGCTAGGAATTTTTAAACACACTTTCGAATGTTTTAGGAATTTATTCGGATAATTTTGGGATATTTTGTCATCCTTTTGATCTTCTGAGATATCCATCTCCCTCCCTCCATCTCCAATTTTTTTCATTTTTCATTCAGAAGAACCAAAAGAATCAGGTGAAGAAGAGGAGATTGATGTGTTCGAAGATAAAAAGACTAAAATTACTGCCAGAATTGTTCTTATGGATTCTAAAGGAGACTTGAAAGACAAGAATGGTTTTTTGATTAAATAAAAAATAAAAATTTTTTTAGTTTTTTCTATCGAAGATTTTCTGTCTGATGATACCCACGAGAAGAAGGAGGAAACTAAAAAAGTGGAGGAAGTTGAGGAGGAAAATAATGAAGTTTTGGGGTTTGAGGAATTTGTTGCGGAGAAGAATAAAATGTGAGGAGGTTTTTTTTGGGGTTTTTGAAATTCTAAAAATTTTTTTAAAAATTCCAGAAAAATCCCGAAAATTTTATTTTTGGATTTTTGGGATTTTTTGTCACCTCAAAAAAATTTTTTTTAATTTTCAAAATTTTTTAGTAACAATTTACAAGCGGAGGTCCTCTATGAAAACGCCTTAAATATTTTATCAAAAAAGAGATGGTCTGAAATTGCTCAAAAAGACATTCGAGCAGCTTATACTGATCTTGAAGAGGCGGCTAAACTGGGATCTGACGACGCGAAGAAAATTTTAGGTTTTTTTATTTTTTGAAATTTTCGGATATTTTGTCACTATAAATTATTTTTCAGCATTTTCCTATTTATTTGGCGATTATCGTTGGAGTATAGACGAGGCTTCCAAAATTTTTGAACAATTGGCTTCCGAGACAGGCTCAGCAGATGCTCACCTCGGTCTAGGCTTTTTACATTCAACTGGCGCTGGAATGAAGGATGGGCCTAATATTGGACTTGGATTTTTGCATTATACTTTTGCTGCTTTAGGCGGAAATCCTTTGGCACAAATGGCTTTGGTTTGTTGTTTTCCAGAGAAAATTTTTTTGGAGATGACAAAAGATCCCACAACCTTTGAAAAAAAATTTTTTTATTTAAAAAAATTTTTTCTATGGTCGTGGGATTTTTTGTCACCCCTAGAAATTTATTTATTGGATGGGCATAGGATCCTTTGTCACCTTCAGAAAAAATTTTTCTATGGGCCTGGGATTTTTTTCACCTCCCAATTTTTGTTTTCTATCAAAAAAATTTTTTTTGTAGGGCTACAGATATGGCCATGGAATTGGAGTAAAACAGGATTGCGAAACAGCTTTAACTTGGTACAAAAAAGTTGCAAATAAAGTTGCCAAAAAAGTTAAATTGACTGGAATGCCTTCTGTTCAACGTATTCGAATACCTGATGAAATTGTAAAAAATTTTAATTCGAGAATTTCTTTACAAAATTTTTTAAAGGAATCCTCTTCTATTGCTGGAACTATTTTGGACACAAATGTATTTTCTTATTATAAATATTTGGCAGAAACTGGAGATATACAGGCTGTGGTATAGAAAATTTTTTTATTAAAAAATTTTTCCTTCGAAAAAATTTTTTTCGGAAATTTTTATATTATTATTTTAAAATTTTTTTGGGTCAAAAAACTGAAAAAAAATTTTGACTCGAAAATTAAAAAAATAATTCAAAGAATTTTTTCAATTTTCCCATGGAATTTGAGGGCGTGGGTTCGAGTCTGCGCGGGGAAATTATTTTTTTAATGATTTTAAATGTGTTGGATACCCTTTATTTAGAATACCTTAATTATAAGAGAATAGTTTTTCTTCCCCAAGAGGTAAAATTTTTTCTTAAAATTTTTTTTTCTTAAAATTTAAAATTTCAGCTTGGACTAGCCCAACTTTATTTAACTGGAGGAAAAGGTGTTCCTATGGATTTGGTATTTTTCCCTCAAAGATTTATTTTGATTTCTATTTTAACAGCAAGCAGCTCGCAAATATTTTCAAATTGCTGCTGATGCTGGGAGTGCACAAGCTAACGGCTATCTTGGACGAATGTATTTGGAAGGAACTTCAGCGACTCCTCAAAATAATGATACGGCTTTAAAATATTTTACAAAGGCTGCTGATAAGGTAGAAAATTGTCCAAAAAAATTACCTTAAAATTTTTTTTCCAGGGAAATTCAATAGGCCAGGCGGGTATTGGAATAATGTATTTATATGGTTATGGAATTAAAGCCGACTCACAAAAGGCACTTAAATTCTTTGCTGCAGCTGCAGAACAAGGTTTTTTAGTTTACTAAAATTATTTTTTAAAATTTTTTAAAGGATCTTCTGATGCACAACTCCATCTTGGCCAAATGTATTACCAAGGATTGGGTGTAAAAAGGTTTGGAAAATTTTTTTAATGCCGTAAATGCTCTAATTAAAGTCCTGGGCTTCTATTTTTAACAAGTCATTTTGAGTGGACTTATATTAGAGAGTGGGCGTTAATTAGAGAGCTTTATGATCTTTTGAAATGGAGTTGTTCCCTAAGATTGTTACCTACTCTTGAGGCAAGGGCCTTGAGATAGATTCTTTAAAGTTTTCTAAATTGGTTGGTCCCTACAGTTCTGTCCACCCCATCCCTACTTTTTGTTAAAATTAAAAAAAAATTTTTTCTAATTAAATTTCTACTCATAATTTTTCAGAGATTTTAAACAAGCATTAAAACATTTCCAACTTGCCTCCCAATCTGGACATATTTTGGCAATTTACAATTTAGCCCAAATGCATGCAAAAGGCACAGGAGTATTCCGAAATTGTAAATTTGCTGTAGCCTTGTACAAAAACGTAGCAGAAAGGGGACGTTGGACAGAACGTTTTATGGACGCCTATCTCAAATTTCAAAACAATGCGATTGACGAGGCTGCTTTCAGATATTTATTTTTGGCAGAATTGGGATATGAAGCAGCACAGACTAATTTTGCCTATTTAATTGACTCGCAAGAGGGAGGTGGAAAAGATGAAAAATTGGCTTTGTTTAGTAAAGAGGAGGCGTATAGAAGGGCTTTTATGAATTGGCAAAGGGCTGCTAATCAGGTTTTTTTTTGAAAAATTTTTTTCCAAAAAGAATTTTTTGTTTAAAGGATTATCCTGTTGCTCGTGTAAAATTGGGAGACTATAAATATTATGGACTTGGAAGTGATTCTGATTTGCAAGAAGCAGCAGAACATTATAAAATAGCTGCTCAAACACATCAAAATGCACAAGCAATGTATTTTTTAAATAAGATAATCCCGCTATAAGAACCCAAAATTGAATAAACCTCAATCTAAGATACTCCAGGGGTATTTCATGGTGGGCTAGAATTGGGTTTGGCGCACGTTTAGCCATCTGAAATCTGACCACCTCCAATTTACTCCAATTTAAATTTTTAACCCCACGGGTGTCTCTTATAGTGAGGTCCTACTTTACTTAAAAAATATTTTTTAATAATTTTCAGGTTCAATTTGGGTTATATGCACGAGAATGGTATTGGAGTAAACAAAGTTTGTTTGATCTTTCTAATTCTATAAAAAATATTTTTTTCTGACAGGACCTTTACCTAGCAAAACGTTTTTATGACTCTGCAGCTGAAACGAGTACAGATGCTTTTTGGCCTGTCACTATAGCCTTAATGAAACTTAAAATTGAATTTTTGATGATGGTATTCTTTTAAAAATTTCAAAAATTAATTTTTATTTTTCAAGAATTTTGCTCAAAAAGGAGGCATTTCATTTAAATTTCTGGACAATTTGGACACTTTACTAGGCCCAGACTGGGATCTGTATGCGATGAGCTTAGCTTTTGGACTAGCTGTGTGGCTTGGTATTTGTTATTTTAGAAATCGATTTGCTAGGGGTTAAAGTGTATTTTTTTAAAATTGTTTTAAATTAGAGATATATTCGGGGAAGGAAAACTTAAATTTGTTCAAAATTTGAGGTTCATGGTTCGAACCCGCTCAGGGAAAATTATTTTTATTTTTAACGAAACTGAATGACCGACATTATATCTCTAATAGAAATTTTTTTCTATCTTATTTGTACATTCAAACTCTCTTTTCTTTCACAGGTATACATTTTTATGTTAGTTATACATACATATATTTATTTTCGGATTAGAAAAAAACTAGGGTTGGTCCCCGATCTGTCTGGGAGAACTTTTTCGTAGAACAGGGACGTTGGAAAGACTATTATTAAAGATAGGGCTGGGGAATGGATGGAACAAGGCGAAGAGTTGGGGACCAACTTTAGAGAAACCTATCTTTTGACCCTCTTTAAAAATCTTTATTTTTATTGATAAAATTCAAGAGATTGTTTTTTTGAAATTTGGGGTTTGTTGGCGTTTAATTCCCGAGTCGTTTGTAAAAAGAAAATTTTTATCGAGTCAAAAAATTCAAAAAATAATAATAAACGTGTTGGAGGATTTTCAGAAGGAATGGACCGTTTCATTTATATTTTTCTGGAGAACAAAAACAAAAAAAATTTTTAATTTAAAATTCTTTCCAAACCTTCCCTCCATTAAATCTTCACAATCATCTCCAATCTCAACGCATTTGAATAATTCCAGCCTGGCGCAGTTTCATTAACTTGGAAAAAATGTCCGGGTTCTTTAAATGCTCACGAGCGGCGTTCTAAAAATTAAAAGGTAATTAAGGAAAAATTTAGCTAAAATATAACCGGATCCTGACTCATTTGCTCCAAAAGCATTCGCATTCCTGGATCACGCAAAATCTGAAAAAAATATTTTAAAATTAGTTTTGCTTGAAAATGTGGGAAGTGTGAACTTTATAGGCATCTTTCTATTCAATGATCTCTTTCTATTTCCATGAATCGAAGAGCCACGTCTTTAACTTCTGGGTCCTGAGGGGACTAGCCGACGATACCTATTATAGAGGACCCCACAGAGTCCTTTTTGCCAAAGCTCTTGGACTTTTGGTCTTGCAGAGAGGTAAAACATGGGAAGATAGAATAAATACTATAAGGTCCCAAAAGTTCAGGCCCATAAAAGTTCAAATTCCCAAAAAATTTTCAAACCTCTTGAACTTCAGGGTCTTGCAAAGCACGTTCCCTAGCCTTTTCAGGATCTTCATCATTAGAACGAATACAATTCGTGAATCCGTCAATAGCCTCTTGATTATTTGGGTCAATTGTCATTGCATCCTCATAAGCTTTTTGGGCTCTACTATACTCACGCATTGCATAAAGAGCTGCTCCCTTGCGAATATAGGCTTTGACTGAAAAATAAAAAAAAATCAAAAGAAAATCAGAACAAAAAATCAGAATTTAATCAGAAGAACCGTTCCCAAGTAAACCCCAAAAAATAAAAAAAATTTTCTTACCAAATTTCGGATCTCGTTTTATACAAGTATCACAATCATCAATAGCCCTTTGAAATTCCATCAATTTTGTATAGCAAGCAGCTAAATTAATTTGAAATTTATTTGTAAAATATTTTTTTCAAAAAAACCTCTATTAGAATAAAGCACATGATTATCCGGATTACGCTTAAGAGCTTCATTGTAATGCTTCATTGCACCAGGATAGTCGCCTAAAATGGAAAAAATACCATTTTTTATTAATCCTAGAGGATGGAAGTTGACCCGGAACAACGGGACTCTCATCTAGAGCCATGTCCTCGTCCCCAGGGTAACGAGTTGGCCGGGGACAGTGGGAGGTTCTCTCCCAAGACCAACGTCCTCGCAAAAGGGTTGATTTAAGAACGGTCCCCACCCAGAGCCACGTCCTCATACATTCCAGGGGACTGGGGTAGATCGGGAGGAGGGGACGATGGGAGGTTCAAACTCATAGCCACCTTCCCGTGGAACGAGGCTAAAAACCACCGCACTTGTCCCTGTGAAATGTTCCACCTGCCCTTAAAATCTTGAACCCTTCAAAAAAAAGAAAAACCTTTCTTAAAAAGCTCGTTTCCACGGGTTTTTTCCTCTTCAGAGATTTTTGGGTCAATATACGCCAAACGTTCCTTCTCTTTAACCAATTTTTCAAGCTCCTTTTGTTTCTTAACAATTTCAGGGTCACGATGCTCAGAAAGCGATTTTTCAATCCAATGCAAAGCCTGGGATTGGTCGTCTTGTTTCATATAACTGTTGCCAATACGGGCATAAGCTCTGAAAATAAAACAAAAAATCAATAGTTAGCATGGTTGTTGATCGACAGGGAGGAAGGAACACGCGAAAAATTTTGGAGGTAGCGCCACGGAGGATCGGAGTGAAGGGGATTTCTGCTTACGAGGACGGGGCACAACCCTAGTTATCAGGGATGGGACGGGTTAAGAAAAACGAAGTCGAGCCGGATCGTCCTCGCATTTCGGTTTGAAAATCCGGGGTTTGTATTTGGGGAACCCGTCCCATCCTTGATAAATGCTAAAAAATTGAAAACAACCAACTTTGCAATTTGTTTGTAATCAGCTCTGTTCTCACGACCAACTTCAGCAGCCTTTGTACACATTGAAATACACTCTCCATACTTTCCTTCTTCAAAGAAGACGGCTTAAAAAATTTTTTTAGTCAAAACTAGATATAGGATATCCCCTAGTGCCAAATTCGATTGCGAACTAGTCCCCTGAAACGAGGGAAAACTGGCTCGCAATTTTGGCCCCAAAAAGAATCAAAATACTGGCGAAAACCCCATGAAATCAGACCCACGGAAGCTTCCATTGTTTTAAACCCGCCAGTAAGATCGAACCTTCACAACAGCGAAACTACTCAAAACCTATCCCAAAAAGTAAAATTAACTGAAACAAACCTGCTTTATTATTATAAAACACAATATTATTCGGGTCAAGTTCGATAGCCTTGTCATAATGTTCATGTGCTTTAGCAAAATCCTTCTTCTTGTAAGCCTCGTTGCCCAAATCCTTTTCTTTTAATGCCTAAAAAAGAGTAAAAATTGTGAAAATCATGGGTTAACCTTGTCATTCATTTTGTACGTTCAATGCCACAAATATCGAAGAAATCGAAAAGTGAATTTTTAAAATAAATAGCTAATCTATAAAAAAAAAGAAAAATTTACGTCCCTCCACTCACTTTCTTTGAAAAACGAAAGCAAAAAATAAAAAAAATTTGCCCCCAACATTCCTTCCTTACAAAAGAGAGTTCTCGAATGATCTACGCGTATTTTGGAGAAAATATAAAAATTCCGTGCCCACACATTTTACCAGTAAGGGAAAATGTTGCCATTTTGCCAGTAAGGGAAAATGTTGCCATTTTGCCAGTAAGGGAAAATGTTGCCATTTTGCCAGTAAGCCAAGGTCATAGTTTACCAATAAGAGTAACTAACTTTATGACGAAACATGTGGTTTTCAACTTATTGGCAAAATATGATTTTGGCAGAATATAGAGGAACCAAAAATTTTCGTTTTCTTTCTCTAACTAAAGGTTAGATAATTTAAAAGGAAAATGGCAAATAAATGCCAAAAAAAATAATTTTTTCAAATTTATAAAAAAATTTCAAATGTGCGCAAAAAACGCCAATTTTAAAAACCGAAAAAAATTTCAAAAATTTTTATCAAAATTTTTTTGATAAAATTTTAAAGAAATTCTTTAAAAAGTATAAAAAATTCTTCAAAAATTAAAAAAAAAAGTATTTATTGCACTAAAGTAACGTTCCATTTGTTGTTTGTCCGAACCATTGTTGGGGTTGCTGTTGATCCCAGCCTAGCGAATGTTGTTGTTCTCTAGCCCAAATTAGACGGCGAAGTCTTTCAGTACCTCCTCTATCGTTTAAAGACTGCTGGGAATGGCCTAAACGAAAATTTGAAAAATTGACTAAATGAGCCATTGGCAAAATGAAAGTTGACAAAATGAAATTTCAAACCTTTTTCACTTTCTCTCTGAGAAATCGGACGAGGAGATGGTGGAGAGTGTTGTTGTTGTGATTCTTTCCTAGCTCCAATACTTACACGTTCATCATGGGAGCGACCCATCCTCCCAAGTTGTTGTCTTCTATATTGTTGTTGTAATGGCCAATTGGGAGAAAGATTTGTTTCTTTTTGTGGTTGATAGTCAAATGATTTTTGTTGTTGGTAGGGATATTGTTTTTGGTGTTTTTGAGATGGGCAATGACTTTGAGAAACCTTTTTAAAGAAAAATATTTTTTGCGGACATTTTTACTTTTGCGGACAAATTTTTGTGTTTGCGGACATTTTTTTTCGTTTGCGGACAATATTTGCGGACTCGAGGAAACGACCGGGAAAAGTCCTCAGAAAAGCAACTTCTTCATTAAACAACCCCATCTCCCAACTAAATTTCCACAGCTCCAGGCTTTCTCTCGGCCCCGCCAATCCTTATCCTCGAGTACGCAAAAATTGTCCGCAAATGCAAAAAAATGTCCGCAAAAAAAAATTTCCCCAAAAAACTCCAAAAAAACCTTATATAGAGCAACAAATCCACAATTTCGACTTCTCAGCCTTTGACAAAAATCCAACGCCGCTATAGTATTAGATGGATGCAAAATTGAATTGAATTCACACAGGAGAATATAGACAAAAGGTGTTGATGTTGTTGTTGAATGTCCAATACTTTTTAACAAACAAACTTTTTGAAGGTCCCAACAACGTGGAGAATACTTTAAAAAATTGTGAGTAATTCAAAGTAGAGACCGAGCTGGGGCTGGACCAAGGACTGGGGTATTCCTTGTACACAGAGTCCAGGCCCAGTCATTCCTGGCCTTGGTTTTTTCAAAGACTACAAGCTCAGGATCCGGCCCAGGTCAATAAAACAAAACGAGAGTCCAGGCTCGGACATTTTTCTGACCTTCCAAGGGCTTTCCTAGGTTTTTCATGGACTGAAGGCCCAGGATCAGTCTCAGGTCAATAAATCAAACCCAGATCTAGGCCCAGGCATTTTTTGACCTTCCTGGGGATTTCCTAGGTCTGGGTTTTTCATAGACTAAAGGCCCAGGGTCCGGCCTGGTCAATAAATCAAACAAGAACCCAGGAACAGGCGGCTTTTCAAAAATCTCGATATCCAATTCAAAGTCAAAAAGGCAAACCTTGTAAATCTGTCCAGCCCCAGTCCAGTCTAACCATCTACTCTCCAAATCTGCATTAGATGAAGCACAATTCTCTCCCAAAAGACGAAAAAATATAAAAATAAACCCTTGGTGCTTTAAAGAATTTTTAATGACGGGCGATGGAGAGGCCGCTCTTTCTAATGTATAAAGTTGTTCATAACAACCTTTAAAAGACATTAAAAATAAAATTAAAAAAATATAACCTAATTGAATTTTGGCAGAAATATCCTCAAAATCCACCAATTCTCCCAAATTGTTTATATGTTGCTCATGATCAGAAAGGGGAGAAAAATTTGCATAGTAGATGAACGGGAGTTTCGCTGAAAATACAACTATAAAAATGGCATTTTGGACGGCTGGTAATTTGACCATTATGAGATATTACCAATTTGACATTTTACCATTCTGAAATATTACCATTTTGAAAACTATTATTGAATCTGACCGTTTTGAAAATTTACCATTTTGACATTTGACCTTGGAAATTTACAATTTTGACACTTACCATTTTGACATTTGACCATTTTGAAATTTTACCATTTTGACATTCACTACGTAAATTACAAAATTTAAAACTAACGTTCAGTATCAATGCATCGGAGAAAATAAATTTCAGAATTCAACGCCCGATCACCCTCCAAAGCAAACTTCTCCCAAAATGAATAAAGAGAGGCATTCATAGGGGAAGAAGCAGAAGTAGATTGACAGGTAACAAACCCAAACAAAATTGTAGATCCGCTGTTAAAGCAATTGTGTGAAGAGATAGAAAGAGGAGAATGTGGAGAGCCCAGTAAAGAAGAACGTGAACTGCTGAGAGGGTCTTCGCAACTCTGAAAAAAATTTTTGGCATTTTGAAGGCTTGACATTTTGTCGCCTTGGCATTTTGAAAATTTTTAAAAAATCTCCCTTACCAAAGAGTATGCCTTCTGAATCAATCTGAACGGCTCAGCAACGTCAATAGTCCTCTCTATTGTCTGTGGTTCCCTATTGTAGTCATTGTTGCCTTCTCTTTCTGGGACGCTCCATTGTCTCGGGGGCAGGTGCTTGCGTCTTCCGCTGCTTCGATTCCTAAATTAATCTTGGTATCAGAAGTGCCTTTACTAAGCCTAAAGTTCTCAATACTCAAATAGTCCTTAGTCAGATGAATTCCAGTCAATTGACTGTTCGAGTCCCTGTACCTAGAAAGACTCCTAGTAGAGTCCCCACAGCGAGTTGACTCAGTTGACATACAGGACATGGCTCCCCTACAAAGGATAGATGAATTAAAGGATAGATGCACTAAAGGATAGATACGCCCAAAAACTATCAAAGGATAGATGCATCAAAGGATAGATGCGCTAAAGGATAGATACAGCCAAAAGCGATCAAAGGATAGACAGCTGAATAGGTCGTTTGAGTCTGGACAAAAATATTTAACAATCTGAATCTTCCCTGGAAAAACTGTTTTTGTGCTGCTACGGAGGGTAGGCCGGGCATGGTCTTCGCTACACGATGGCCGTGCTTCGCTGCGGTCGTGCTCGCTTCGCTCGCGGCGACCGTAGCGAAGCGGCTGCCGTCGTTCCGCTCGACATGCCCGGCTTCCTCCGCAGCGGCAAAAACTTTTTTCCGCGAATATACTAAAGTACGAATAAAATAAAAATCAGAACAGAAACATGAACTCAGAACAAAGATCAGAAAAAACAAACAAAGATCAGGCACTCAACAGTTGGTACTCAACTGGACTCCAAACTTTATCTATATTTTACCCAATTTTAGACGTGTCTATACTTTAATGGATTTTACCCCTATCTATCCTTTGGCGCATCTATCCTTTGATGCATCTATCCTTTAATCGTTTTTTCCCTTATCTATCCTTTAGCAGATTTTGGCCGCGTCTATCCTTTGATCGATTTTAGCCGTATCTATCCTTTGATTCATCTATCCTTTGAGCGGGCACGCAGGACATAGGTTAGAGAACAGATTTGCAGCGATGTTAAGTTTTGATGTGTCCGTTCTGTTAAGTTACGCAACGCTGATGAAAGGGTCACTTTAGTCTCAACATATTTTTCAACTAATTTCTACTCAAATCCCCTTACTCATTATTTAATTTCCTCCTTCTCATTTTATCATTTCCATTAGTCGAAGTAGGCGAAGACAGTGCTGAAAATATTAACGAAGCAAAAGATTGAGATTTCTCGCTTCCGCTAGCAGAAATACTCTTTTTACGTTTTCTTCTACTTCCGCCAGCATTGGATGACCTTAAATATTGTTAAAAAAGATTCATTAAATTTGCATAGATTTTTAAAGCTTAAAAGTTAAAAGTTCCTCAAAATTCTTTCATTCCTCAAAATTCTTTCATTCCTCAAAATTCTTTCATTCCTCAAAATTCTTTCATTCCTCAAAATTCTTTCATTCCTCAAAATTCTTTCATTCCTCAAAATTCTTTCATTCCTCAAAATTCTTTCATTCCTCAAAATTCTTTCATTCCTCAAAATTCTTTCATTCCTCAAAATTCTTTCATTCCTCAAAATTCTTTCATTCCTCAAAATTCTTTCATTCCTCAAAATTCTTTCATTCCTCAAAATTCTTTCATTCCTCAAAATTCTTTCATTCCTCCATAAATAATTTAAAAAAAATAATCGTCATGGGAAATGCAAAAAGACCATGTACATCGATTAGTACGGACAGTGAAATTGATAAAACACCGCTTTTATCAACTGAACAACTTGAACAAATTTCTCGTAATGTTGTTCAACTTCTGACACCATTAATTGAAACTACAATTAAAACCTTATTTGAACAATTACATCAAAAATTCAGCAACAATCTTCCATCCCAAAACCCACAACCAACATCTCAGTGGGGTTGCCCCCCGAATCTAATGCCACCAAAAATTCGTCAGGCAGCAGAAACAATCCAACAACTTCGACAGCCCAAATTCGATGAAAAACTTAAGGAGTTATATGAAAAGAAGAGCTATTATGCAGTTATCGAAAGATTCCCTGAAATAGATAATGAAGAAGAAGATATTAAGGTTATAGAGAAGAATGTTAATGCTGTTGTGAACAACAAAAACTTCCAAGATAATAAAACATTCGAAGTAAAAAGACATGGAGCCAAAAAACAAAACAACTATCACCGCATCATCAAAGTTAAATTCTCATCACCTTCTGCTGCACACTCTTTTATTAATCAATACAGAAATATCCATCAACCTAAATTGGGTGGGCATAGTCCCTTCGCAAGAAGGGACTTAACCCCACCTGAACTACAGCTGCAAAACTATTTGAAACAGCAAGTGAGGGAAATTAATGAGAAACATGGAAATGGAACTGCTTGTTACCGTAATCTTAAAATTCATTTTAAAAAAACAGTGACCATGGGTTAGGATTTAGGGACCTCACAGAAAAATAAAAAAATTAAAAATTTGAAATGCTTACTTTTAAACATTCGCTCCATTAATTCAGAAAAAACTACATATAAATTGGTTGAATTAGAGAATTATCTAATTAAAAATAATATCGACATAGCATTTTTATGCGAGACATGGCTAAGCGATAAAATATCCGATAAAACCCTTTTGCTATCGGATAATTATAACTTTTTAAGGATAGATAGAATTACTAGAGGGGGAGGCGTAGGCGCATTTTACAAAAAGGAACTAAAAATTGTTAAAATTCCTACTCTATCAATGTCCCAGTATAATCACGAACTTCTTACCCTTGATATATACTCAGAATTTAAACGAATAAGATTTCACTTAATATATAGGCCTCCAAATACAAAATTAAATGACGATAAAAAAATTTGGGGAGTTATAAAAGAAAAATACAAAAATGAACTTTCACATGTTATATTAGGAGATTTTAACCTTCCAAAAATAAATTGGCAGGAGTCCGCACTTCCAAAAGATAAACAGAGTTTATATTATTACAATACCATAAATAAGTTAGACTTACACCAAATAATAAAGGAGCCAACAATGTACAATAATAACCATACACTAGACTTAATCCTACAGAATAAACAATTAATTGAAAAATATAATATAATTAATGATCTAGTTGTAAGTGACCACAAACCAATATCATTTGAAGTAATTTTTCCAATAGAAAAAGTAAAATCTAAAGAGAAAAGAAAAGTATTACTATTTAAGAAGGGAAAATATAAAACAATTAATTGGTATTTAGCTCAATACGATTGGTCCAATTTATTTAATAACAAAAATCCGTCAGAAATGGCCGAAATGCTAAATCTTATAATAACACAAACAATTCAAAAATTCATCCCATTTAAAAAATTCGGTGAAAAAAAACCCTTGAAATATCCTAAAGAAATTAGAGATACCATTAAACAAAAGGCTTTGGCATGGAAAAAGTTTAAATTAGGCGAGATCAATAAAGACAATTATAAAAGTCTTGAAATTAAATGTAAATTAGAAATAGAAAAATATAAAAACAAACATATATCTAAAAAGATAGGATCAGGGCATATAGGGGAGATATATAAATTGATGAAAAGAAACAAATTTAATTCTGGGATACCAATACTTAAGGAATCTGAGGAAAGTGACCCAATATTCTTAGACACTGACAAAGCTAAAAAATTTAAAACAATTTTTGAAGAAATGGTTAGCGGAGATATAAACTATAAACAAATAAGCATCGAAGCTGGTGATGAAAATCATAAAGAAATTATATTTGAACCATATATAATAGAAAAATTACTCAAGAAGCTCCCAAATAAATTATCCCATAGTCCTGAGAATATCAATCAATATTTCCTAAAAAAATGTGCTACCCCATTAGCTCTTCCTCTATCAATTCTATATAACAATACATTTAAGACCGGAATAGTCCCTGAATTATGGAAAACAGCACACATTATACCGATATTTAAAAAGAAGGGTTCAGTAAACGACCCAAAAAATTATAGACCAATTGCATTAACATCTCCAATTTGTAGAATTTTTGAGCGTTTGCTAGCGAATAAGCTATTAGAACACCTTAACAAACATAAAATAATCGCTGAAGAACAATTTGGGTTCTTACCCAAAAGCTCGTGTACACTCCAGATTTTATTATCTATGCAAGACTGGTTCAACTCACTTGATAGAAAAATAGGTACAGACGTCATATATTTTGATTTTCAAAAAGCATTTGATAAAGTAGATCATGAAATACTTATTAGAAAATTACAAGAAATTAAAATAGATAGGTTAACAATTAGATGGGTAGCAAATTTCCTAAATAATCGATCTCATATTGTAAAAATAGATGAAAATTACTCTGAACCATTTTTGCCTAAAACAGGTGTCCCCCAAGGGACTGTCCTGGGACCATTGCTTTTTTTGATTTATATAAATGACCTGCCCAGCCACATTCCAAAAAATATAAAAGTAAAATTATATGCAGACGATTTCAAGCTTTATTCAGAAATAAAGTCAGAAAAAGATTGCATAGAACTACAAAAAGCTATAAACAATGCATATAGATGGGCAAATGATAATAAGCTAGAATTCTCTATTTCAAAAGTAAAAGTTTTAAAAATATACAACAAAATTAATTTTAATTATGAGATTAGTGGTGAAAAAATCGAAGAAGTTACTAACATAAGAGACCTAGGTATATACATAGATAACAGACTTAAATTCGATCAACATATAGCAAAAATTACTAAGTCCTCGTTTATAAGGCTAAATAATATCCTAGGAATATTACCCAAAACATTACCAATAGAAACATATGTAAAAGCATTCAAAACATACGTAAGACCACTTATGGAGTATTCCACTGAAAATTTTAGCCCCAAATTAGAATATCTTAATAAACAATTAGAAAGACCGCAAAAAAGCTTTACAAGGAGAATTTTAAGATATAAATACAAATATCAAAAAATAGGGTATAACGAAAGACTAAAAAGATGCAATCTCCCACCAACTAATATCCGTCGTATAAGAACAGATCTTATGACAACCTTCAAAATAGTAAAGGGTTTCTATAAAATAAAGCCAGAACAAATATTTTCAAAACCTAATAGAAATAATCCGCGCTTACATAGATATCAATTATTTAAAAAACAAGCCAAAAATAATCATTTCTTCTCACATAGAGTTATAGATAGGTGGAATAAACTTCCAAAAAATGAAATCGAAAAAATCAATACCATTCCTCAATTTAAAAAATTTTTAGACAATATATTAATCACAGAAGACTTTTAGATAAAATATTAATCGCCGAAGATTCTAATTTATAAGCAAGAGGTTAATGGAGCGTAATGTATTAACAAAACAAATGTATTAATAAAATATGTAAATCCTACCCAAAATGTTCACTGTTTTGTGTTTTAATTTAATTTTAATTAAATTTTACTTGACCATTTAGTTAAAAATATTTATTTAAGCTATTTTTTTGATGACATTCGTTTTATTGTGTATAATTTTATTGCATTTATTTATATTTTTTTCTGTGGAGTCCATTTTTTTTAACTATATATTTTTTAACTGTATTACCATATTTTTTTTTTTTTAAATTTTTTTTTGTATAATTTAACTATCTCCATAAGTGATCCTTGTGGATCCAGGAGTATTTATTTTATTGTTTCACATTTTATTTGTGTCGATAAAGAAAAAAAAAAAACAAGTCAGTCATATGACAGGAACAAAAAAGGGAATGTTTACACTAACCCAGAATGTCAACAAAGTTAGGAAGAGTAATCCGTTTAATACTCTAACGTGTCGGGAGCAATAGTCACTAGAGTCTAAGTTATAATAGGGTATTAGAGTCTTAATAAATTCAAAGAGCTAGACCACTAGAGTCCGAGCTATAGCCAGACCACTAGAGTCTGAGTTATAATATCATAGGACTACTAGAGTCTCAAAAAAGTTCAAGGAGCCACTAGAGTCTAGTCATACTTATATAGAGCTATATAGAGTCCCAACAACCTCTGAGATTGTTCTCTAGTTATACCTGCTCCGACTTGCACTGCTTGCACTTTGTTGTCTTTGAATTCTGGTTGAAGTGGAAGGTTCTTCAGGTTCCCCAATAGTAAGGGCCACAAATTCATTCTGAAACCCAGCATTAACAGCCCCACCACTTTGCCGTCTAAAATTATTTTTTTGGGGGGAATTTAATAAAGCTGTTGTGGTAGAAGTTGTTGTAGTCATTGTTGTGTTAGTTGTTCTTCTAGAGGAGGAAGAATAGGAGGAAGCAGGGCCAAGTGATGATACTAGACCAGAACTGGAAGCTCTCCTTTTTGAGGAGGAGGAAGTGTGTGGGTTGAAAACGCGGTCGAAAGCGTCGAGGAAGAGATTCATTTAAATTTGAAGGGGAAATTTTTTTTGTTGGGAAGGAATTTTTTCCTTTGTTGGGGAGGGATTTTTCCTTTGTTTTTTTAAATTTTTTTGCTAAAATTTGATTTTTGAAACCTTTGTTAAAATAAATATTTCAACGCCTATTTCAACACTTATTCTTCATTTATATGTAAAAGAATAGTGAGTTTTAAAGGTCTTTAAATATGGCAAGAAAGCTTGCAACTTGGCCAGACATGAAAGAAAATAAAGCTTAAAGGAGAAGAAGCACATTGGCGCTTTTAAAATAAAAATAGAAAAGTGTGTACGAGGCAAGGAAAATAAAAATAATAAATACAAAAAAAGGATAAAGTATAGGGGAGCAAATGGAATAAAAAAAGCATAAAATGGAGGGAATAAAGGGAGCAGGCCGGCGTGCCGCGAGTCTAATGTATTGCTGAAAATGAGCTGTAACTTCATTCAAAGTTGTCGAATCGGGGTCGCTCTGGTATGATTCTATGCGCCTTGAGGAGGTGAATCGAACCATACCAGAACGTCCCGGATTCCGGAGCAGCTAAACCGAGTCACGGCCTTATAACTCAAGAAGGTGGATAATTTTTCTGACTTTTTCGATCCTAACTTTCTTGCCAGTGGGTCAAGAATTTTGATTTTTTGGTATATTGTAGCCTATTTAATGCTCTATCCAATGGTACTAAGAACACAAAAAAGCGATCATCCCTTCATAAGTTATAGGGTCCGGGACTGAGTTGAGTCGGGACTAAGTTGGGGTGTACCTCCGGATTCGATATATTCTAACGAAATTATAGCTTGGTGTAAAATTGGTTTAGAGATATGTTGGGGGTGTACCCGGGCATAAATTATTCAAAAATTGATTTTAAATTCCAATAAAAATTTTTTTTGGAATTTAATAATAAAAAAAGGGGAAAAGTATTTTAAGGAAATTGAATAAATTTAATAAAAAAATTTTTATTTTTGCTTGTTTCACATTTTAATAATGAAGACTAGAAACTTTTTTTTATTCAATTTATTCACAAAATCCCTCCCACGCAGATAAAGGGAGGAATATATGGCATATTAAAATATTAAAAAGGAATTGGAAATGAAGAGGGGATGATGGGAATATTTTACTTTTTTTTAAATTGTTGGTAGGCTGGTTGCTAGTGAAACGGCATTTTTTAAATGATGTATAGAGAGAGAAGGGAAAATAAAAAAATTAAAAAAAAATAATTAAAAAATTAATATGAGAATATTTTTTCATAAGAATGGTTCAAAATAGGGCTCCCCGTACCCCGACGATTTTTTTTGGCAAAAATCTCGACCCGACCACGCCGAAGTCTCTACCCTGGCAAACCCCGTCCCCGACGATCCCGAAGACTCGAGGAGCTATCCTATTACAAAATGATGTGGCAAGAAAATCTAAATCCTATTCAGCGCATTCGAAAGAGCATCAAAAATTGTCTCTAAAACCCTTCCCCAAAAGAAAATATTTTATAAATCGATCAAAAATTTCAAGAAAATTTGACAATCAAGAGCACGTATCAGTGAACTCAGACTCAATCATATTTTAAAATTTATCAACGAACTATAACTTTCAATCAAGAGATTTGTACTTTAATTTGACGCACTTTAAATTTTCTCTCTTTTTTATTTAAATTTATAAAATAAAGGATTAAAATCAGACAGCGTTTACTCCCTCCCGTTTATTCTCGAATTAGTGAACCGCAAATGGGTGGTAAAGACAAGTAAATTGTTGATAAACAATGATAAATAGTTGGTTGTTAACTGTCCAGTTTTTTTTCTAATCATGGGGAGGGGTGGTGTTTTTCTTGCTCTTTTCTTTGACGATAACCTCGTGAATTGCCTGATCAAAGTATTTTTTAATTTGTTTACTTTTGGTTAGTCTTAAGAAATTAATTTTTATTTAAGAAAATTTTTCAAAATTTAAATTAATTTTTCAGCATTTTTATTAATTTAATATTTTTATTAATTTGTAATGAAATTTATTTTGCAACCACCCTTTCTATTTAATTTAACAACACTTAATGGAATTCCAAGTTTATTTTTTGTGCGATCTGTTGTCAATTCAGAATGCAGGATTTGTAGAGGTGTGGTTTATTAGAAATTTTACAATTATAAATCAGAATTTTTTTAATAAGGGGTTTTTACAAATCAGAATTTTTTTCAGAATTTTTACAGATATTTTACAGATCAGAATTTTATTAGAAATCAGAATTTTTCAGAATTTACTGTAAAATCAGAATTTTTTTCAAAATTTGTTGTAAATCAGAATTTTATTTTAAATCAGAATTTGTCTAAGAATCAATCTTTTTACAAACCAGAATATCTAAATCAGAATTTTTAATAATCAGAATTTATTTTTCTCTAAATCTGAATCATTTTTACAAATCAGAATTTCTTTCTAAATCAGAATTTTTAATAATCAGAATTTATATTTCTTTAAATCAGAATTATTTTTTATAAATCAGAATTTTATTTTTACAATTTGTAATAAATTATTTATTTTTCTTGACTAAAAATTAAAATATTTAAATATAAAAGTAATTGAATATATTTAGCAAAAAAAGGAGATAACAATCAGAAATTGTACTAAATATAAAACATCAATTTAGGGAAATATTAGAATATATAAATGGGTAAAGGAGCGCGATCATTAGCCGTTTTGACCGAAAAATAAAAACAAAAATAGGGGCAATCTTGAAACATTTTAGTGAACGAATATAATCTTTTTTAGTCAATTAAAATAAAATTATTTAATAAAAAAATATTTCCTACTTGTTTTTTTAATTCAAAAAATCGTTATCACGCTTCGCTCAACTCTGTTAAATTTATATTGTTTTTGTCCTTTTATTTTTTAGTTGTTTAAAAATAAGGAAGTTTATTTTAAATTTTACAATTCTTGAGAACCAGAATTTACAAATTGTAATTTTTATTCAGAAAGTTTAAGTATACATATAAATCAGAATTTGCAAATTGTAAAATTAAAGTCAGAATTTGTAATTTTCGCTGAATCAGAATTTTTTAACCAGAATTTACAATTTTTAAGATCAGAATTTACAAATTGTAAAATTAAATAAAGTCAGAATTTGTAATTTTCCGGAATCAGATTTGTAATTTCGTAATCAGAATTTTTATTTTAGTAACCAGAATTTACAATTTTAAAAACCAGAATTTACAAATTGTAAAATTAAATGAAGTCAGAATTTGTAATTTTCCGGAATCAGAATTTTTATTTTGGTAACCAGAATTCGCAATATTTAAACCAGAATTACAAATTGTAAATTAATTTTTAAAATCAGAATTTGTAGGCTTATTTTTAAAATCAGAATTTACAATTTGTAATAAATTTTTAGGGGGAATTTTAATTAAATCAAATATTTTTTTAATTTTTAAATAATTTAATTTTGCCATTATTTTTCAATTGATTAGGTCGTTCGACAATCATTCGACACTAATTGTATTTTATCAAATCAAAACACACATTTTAATTATTATCATTTTAAAAATTATTTTGGAAATGTAGACATATTTTTTTATTTTTATAAAATTTATTTCAAAAATTTTTTTTTTAATTTTTCCCAGAGATTTTTTAAATTGATTTATTGTTGTAATATTATCAAAGTCTATTCAACATTCCAACATTTTTATTTTTTTTCATTTTTTAAATTAACTTCAATTTTATTTTTTATTTTTTATTTTCTTTGTCTATTTTTTAACCAAAAAATTTTTTTAAGTTCTCTTTTTTATTTTTTTTAATTAGAAAATTTGTTCCAAGCTATCTAAAAATCCCAGAAAAAAATCTAAAAATTTTTTAATCATCATTTCCCCTCTAGAAATTTTCAAAAAATTTAAAATTCCTTTGAGATTTTAAAAATCACTTTAATTCCGTTTTATAGTGCCAGAACAGATGGGCGCGTTAAAGCAATTTTTAGGGTTGACTGAGTAAATCATAAAAATTTAAATTAATTTTATTTATTGGAGTAATTTCTGAATAACGTCAAATTTAATTAAAGTTATTCAATTTTTTAGGATTTTTTTAAATTTTATTTTTAATTTAAAACATTATTTATAGTTAACGTTGTGTTCTGGAACGGTGGTTTTTGGTCTTTTTATTTTTACCAAAATATTTTTTTGAACTACATCGTTTACTTTATTTTTAAATCCACTTTTTATCTGCCAAATTTATTTTTTCATTTTTATTTTCTAAATTTCTAAAAAATATTTTAATCCTTCTTATAAGAATTTAACTAATTATACTTTGATAATAACGAAAATACAATTCGAAAATACAAATCAGAATTATTTCAGAATTAATATAATTTTTGTATTTTCCGGAAAGTTGATAATATTTCAGAATTAATTATTTAGTTTGTGTTTTCCGGAAAGTATTTCAGAATTAATAGAATTTGTATTTTCCGGAAACTTTATTTTTCTGATTTTGTATTTTCCGGAAAGTTAATACTATTTCAGAATTATGTTGTAAGTTTTGTGTTTTCCGGAATGTTTGTATTTTCCGTAAATATTTCAGAATTATTTAAATAATTCCAGAATTATTTTTCATAATTTTAAAATTAATTATTAAGTTTTGTATTTTCCGGAATCCTTTTTAGCATACAAAGTTAATTAGATTAGTGAAGTAATTTAATATTCTTCAGGAATACAAATCAGAACAACTTGCCAATTTCCTCATATATCCTCCAGAAATAATTATTTATTTTACAAAATAAATAAAAATCTTCTTTACCGGAAACAACATTTTTCACAAATGGTTGCAGAATCAATTCTATCTTTATCAACAACACAAAATGGGGAGGAACGAAAAAAAAGTTATGTGCACGGAGCTGCTTCCAAAAATCCCCTACTTTACAGCACAATAGGTGAACGATTAAGATTAGCAGCAAATCTGTTTCCAACACGCGAATTTGTACTCTTCAAAAGGGATGGGGTGCGCAAAACTTATAAGGACGTTCTTGAGGATGTTTGTGTTT